TTTTGAAGAACCCCTGCCTTGCCTCGCCACATTTGGGTTTCATTTCGTTCGGTGGTCAACTTGTTCTCGTACTCCGTTTGCGTGGATACCATGTTGCGATCGTTCTCCAGCTCCACCTCGTGGCAGTACTCAATGAACTCGGCCTTCTTGTCCTGCATCTCCTTCATCAGGTCGCGGATCAGCTCCTTGCGCTCGTTCAGCTGCTGCTTGTAGTTGTTTTCCAACGCCTCCACCGTATCCTGCAACGTGCCCGTGGAGTTCTTTAGTTTGTCCTCATAGCTCTCGCGAAGTTCCAGCATGTTCTCTCGCAGATTGGTGAACTTCTGATACTCGATCAGCATCCGCTCCGAGTACTGAGTGGCCAGCGTGTCCAGTTGGATGCGGTGATCCTCTCGTATGGCATTGATCTGGAACGTGATGTGGTTCATCTCCTCCGTGTGCCGGGCCTCGATCTCGTTGTTCAACTCCTTGAGCTCCTCCAGCGCCGAGCAGTAGCTCCTGTGCACCTCCTGCAGCTGCTGGCCGTCAAAGATCTCGTTCTGGCTCAACTGGTATTGGAACTCCTCCGCCTGCTGCTTCAATCGCAGTTCCAGATTGGCAATCTGCTCGATTTTGTCGTTGAGCTGACTGCGTGGTATCAGCACCTCCTGGCTGCGCATCAGATCCTGGTCCATGTAGGCCACCTTGCCCTCGATGTTGTCCATGGCCCAGATGGCCAGGGTTCCTTTGTTGGAGATCGCAAACAGCAGACTGCCGTCGTAGGAGAAGCGCAGCTTGTTGACCGGTCCATCGAAGAACCGGAAATTGGTGAAGGTCCCTCCTCCGGCCTCCAGGAATGGCAGCTGCATGTTGAACAGATTCCCTTCGTGATCGGCCACGAACATAATTAGGTCCGATCGGGCCAGGCATATATCCGAAACGGATCCCTTGGTCCTCGAGGGAATCGTTATCTCCCTCACCAGCGTGGAGTCCTGGAACTCGCGGATCGTTCCGATGCTAGTGCCCGCGAAGATCGTCATGGGATCGTTGGTGCTGCAGGAAATGGTCACATATTCGGTGCCCTTCTGCACGATCTCCTGCAGTCGCGTGCCCGTCTCAATGTCCCACAGATAGATGGCACCCTCTGCTCCGCCGGAGATCAGGAACTTGTCCGTTCGCGACCAGGCCACCGATAATACAATGCCGTTGTGACCCTTCAGGTTGATCAACACATCCAACTTGTACACCGAGGTGACGGCTATGTTGTTGTCATAGGCGGCGGCCATCATGTGGCCGAAATTGGAGTAGCGCACCGCATTGCAGTGCGGGAAATTGTAGGTCTTGACAATCTGTGAAGGATTTAAAATGTATTATAAATCTCTTAAAAGCTACTCATGAACTCATATAAAACGGAAGTTTGGTTTAAATTTAGAAGGTCTAAGACGGACATTATGAGGCTGATTAATAAATATTTTTAAAGAGTCGGACATGTTGCTTTGTTGGAGTATGTACGTATTTTCTTAACAGGGCACTGCTTTTTAAATTAGCTTAAATTGATTTATGTTTAAATAAAAAAATTAAATAAATAATTATAGTATTTTATATATAACGAATAAAATATGAGGAAACTCACATTGAGGTCATCCATGAAGATCTGTGTGATGCGCAGCTGATCCGAGAAGCCAATGGCGGCCATTTGACCCGTTAAACTTAACTCCACGATGTTGACATCTACTTGGAACTTGCGCACCAGCTCGACGAGAGCAGTTTCATAGTTCCAGATCCGGATGGTCTGGTCCCTGGCTGGTTAAAGATTTAAAATAGAATCAAGGATAGATGGGGCAGATGAATCCTACTCACAGGCAGTCATTATGATTGGCTTCCAGGCGCACACAGACATGGCGATGATTTCTCCTGTATGGATCAGGACTCCAAGGGGTTCAAACTTCAGCTGCTTGGTTTTCAAGGTCTCGGGAACTATAAGAATGCCCACATAGATCTGAGAGTGGGATGTAGTCACTATCACAGTCTCCTGTTTGTGATCGATGGCCAGGTTTTTGATCTGATACATAGGCTCCGCGTACAGATTTGTGGGCACCGTCAGGATAGTTTTCCTCTCGAACTTAAACTTGGACACACGTTCGAAAACAAAGGCCCTATTGAAGATGATGTAGGCGAATCCCTTAGGGAAAGCAGTCATGCAGAGGACTCTTCTGTCCGGAAGACTAACCGCCTGAGTGGGCAGGAATCGCTGATCCTGCAACTCCTTATCCCGATCGAATACCTCCTGATCGATCATCAAGTCCACGGTGTCAGCATCGCTCGCTTTTTGCGCCAACTTCTGCTCGCCATTCTCCACCAGTATCAACTGATCATCTGACGTGCCCACCATCAAAAGATCCAGCGAGAGGAAGGCCATCGAAGTGACCCTATATTTGACCTTTAGATTATTGCTAATACTAAATCCTCGTTCCGATTTACTCATCAGCAGCAGGGTGCGTTCCCCGCCCACGGCCAAAAAGCTGCAATCACTCGGGTTTCCAGCAATGCACTCGGCACCACCATGTGATCCCGGGATCGTGCCTCTTCCCTCAATCACTGTGCTGGTTTTATCCAGCACAAGCATAATGAGAGTTTCCTCCGGCGGACGGGTAATTAAGGCCACCGATCTCGAGTCATTGGTGAAGATCATCTGCTGGATCTCGGCATTGCGATGGTTGCTCGGCAGCTCCAGGTGACGTCGTTTCTTCAGGGTGGCCAACTCATAAATAGATATATAGCGACCACTAAAGGCGAGTTCAGAAAAAGTTCGTTAATTAAAAAGAAATAGTAAATTTATAAGAATACGTTTTTCTAACGCTGGTAATAATAAAATCAAGAATATTAAAATTACTCAAAATTTCACAAATATTAAATCAATCAAATAAAAATGTTTGAAAAAGTTTCCTATAATGGTGTCTTGAATGTCTTCTAAGAAAATAAAGTTAATTTTTCAATTTAAACGGTGATCTGATTAATACAGGCCTAAATGGTATTTTCTCTTTGTGGAAACAATACTTTTAAATAGATTTTTATGAACACAGCTTAAAACACTACTTCTTACTTCTTTGTATGCCTTTCCAGTACGGCCAGCAGTTTTCGATGGGAACTCATGGCTATCACTTCGGGACGCGTATCCTCTGGTAATCTGCAGGATAACAACAAGAGGAAAGGATAAACACCACTTTAACATACACATAATGAAAAGGACGCACCTCAAAAACCTCTGCTTATTTTGGACGTAGTCGTGGAAGGCCAGGACCCCCTCCACCGGATAGATGACCTCCTTGGTGAGGTTGAAGTGGATGTTGCCAATCACATCCGACCGCAGTCCGTAGATAAGCCGTGGCCTTATCGCCACCGTGTTGTTGGTCATCGAAGGTCGCTTTACTTCGTCCATCCTTAACTGATTTTTATACAAAATATATGCACGCGGGTCGGGATTAAAATTTTAGGTGGCAGACAGACAAATTGGAGGAACTGAAATTCGATCAAACAACCTGGGGGAATCGTTAGGGAACTCTCTGCCCTGTTCCCAGCGACAGCAAACTCCATGGCATCCGGAAAGTGAAAGCCCTAACAACACCAAGTATTTGGAGCTGGGGGATGTGGACTCTATTCCAATCAGAACTGAGCCGCGAGCGTCCCTGAATAAGTAATTAAACGCTGCTAAGTATGCTTTTAATTTAAACCAACAGATGAGAAAGGAATGGGGAGTGGAGAAAGCTAAGCGCCTGTTTAAAACAACATTGAAATTTCCGCTGAAATTGGCGCTCGTTTCCTGGCCAACAATAACAAAAGCACTTGAACTCTGGCAATGCGCTTTTTCGCTGAATATGGGTCTGTCTGCCAGTTAGTCAGCCAGTCACTCAGTCAGTAAGTCAGCCAGTCGACTCTGTCAGCCATTCGGGTCCCCAAATATTGTGTCATCCCCCAAAATCCCCTCAAATAGTTAGCGGCAATCGTTTCCTTGGCGCAGCGAACACGACCTAACACAAGGAATTGTTAGTTAAAGAAAAGCTGCTCGGCCTCTCTTCAACTCAAGCACTCTTAAAGTGGGGGGAAAGCTTTTGTGTCCACAATCCTACAAGTTGGAGATGCCAAAAATGGTTTGAGCTCACCCAAATGGGGAATAACTTGGGAAGGGGAATGTCTTGATTAATGGTTTTCTTTTCGGACAACGCAATTTTGCGGTGCATTAAATATTACATTTGAATATTGCCTGTAAAGATATTTTAAAACCTGAAAAGTGTGCCATACTTAAAGAAACGATTTTTATTTTGAATCAAAATATTTCGGAATACACTTTCGTTACTTATAAAGCTAGAATAAATATAAACAACACTTTTATAAATTTTATAAATTATTTAACAACTCCTAAATAATACAAATACCAACTTAGTCAGAAGCCATATAAGACGTACCAGAAAAAAATCAGTCTTTTAATCAGGGATGACGGGAGATTTGAATTAAGAAATACTCATATATTTTTTAAGTTTCAAATGGTTGTAAAATGGTTTTTTAAGGTATTAACAGCCGGTTTACATTTTCAAAATAATATTGTAAAACTACAGAGTTTCTAAGCAAACTAAAACTAAATAGTATGAGACAAAAAAGTAAATTTACGAGGCAATTTATATTCTTAGGTATTTAATTTTCGGTCTGATTTTAGTTCCTTTATAAACTCAACTGTAATTAAAGTCCTTTTAAAACAATGCTCAAATTGTAAAATCATCTATGAATAAAAGCAAACTATTTTCACAAAAAATATAGGTCTACAGCGAAATTGCTTGGAAAACTGTAATCGTAATATCTCCTTGAAATCCGTAAAAATAATAATTAGCCGGAAAATATCCGAATGGACATTTCCATTCCGTGCACCGCTGGCATGGAAAGCTTTCTCTCTCGCCGTTTTGGTTCAGCTGAGTTCAGTTTCGTTTTCACTTTCGGCTGTCCATTTCAGTAGTAGTTTTCGCGTCGGCCGCAGCACAACGAGCAAACGGAAACCGGAAACGGAAGTGGAAGTGGAAAAGGCAGTGGCACAAAGCACAGTTAATCGGGCTGAGAACCGAAAACAGACAACCGACAACAGACAACTGAGAACTGAGCGCAGTGAAGTGTTTGTTTTCGGCGTTATCAGTGGATGCACGCGTTTCCAGCTCTGATTGCGAATAGGGATTGGGATTGGGATTCATATTCAAATTCGCATCCAGACTCGGGACCCCGGACGGACGGAGGAGGCGGCGAGCCGGAGAGGCGTGTCACTAGCAGGTGGCTGATCCGGTTAACCACAGTCCGACGGCAAAAAGTAAATAAAAACCCACTTGTAAATTGTGTGACAGTGTAGACCTTTGAGAGCTGAAAAGTGTGTGTGTGTTTCTGAGTGTTTTGAGAGTGCCGCGAGCGGTTAAAACTGTTGTTTGTACACAGGGCAAAAGACATTAAGTCATTTATCATTAAATAATTTCATAATTACATTTGACATTTAAATATACTTTAGGTGTTCCATTAAGGCAAGCTAGGGAAATTAATTGCCCATTGAAGAAATATCTACACATAATTTGTGTTATATTTTTGGGTATTCTTATATATTATTTTTAAACCGAGACATTCGTGCATAGCAATTATTTGATAATGGTTATATTATAATTTCAGAATGTCTTAAAATGAATTTTGTTATTATCATCTTTTTTTTTTTTGGTGTAATATATGTGTTGCTTAATTAACAGGAAAAAGTCCCGAGTCCTTTGCGGCTTTCCTCAAGAAGACGACTGAATTTTAAGCCAATTAAATTGCGAATACCAAAAGAGAAAAAGGAAGATTTCAAAGTGAGAGAAATAAGTAAATGAAATGAAATGAAAAATCGGGTAATGGACTGGGCTCTGTCAATCTCAACCTGAAAAGCAGCTGTGGCAATTAAGAAGTAATTTTATTGCTCCTGTACAGTTTGTTTGCAAAAACAAGCAACGTATTTACAATTAACCTGGGTGTTTTTGAATTTTTGTGTGGGTTAATTCAACGCCCTTGCACCGCTGTAAATCTTTTTCATCTTTTCTCTCTCGATTCCTCTCCTTTTATTTGGCTATTGGATGCGTAGCGAGTCGCACGTAGCAGCTTATTATAAACAAATCGTTTTCATCAAAAAGTCCCACAGGGTAGTGCACACACATGTAGTCATAAAAATAAATATAAATACATATCCGCACATTCACCGCAACTAGAACAGGTCAAATGAAAATCGGATCGGCGGCAAAATGCCCGGAAAGAGTAAATGTTCATTTTAAATTTAAATCCGTCGCAACCACACTCGCCGCATTGCGTGCATTGCTCCACCATGTGGCAGTGTATCTAGATATATATGAGTATATGCACCCATTTCTATATACATATATTAGCACGACTTGGTCCCGGTATTTTTGGACTCGCGCAAAGTCGAGCAAAATGCCGCAGAGTTTGACCGATTAAAAATGGAAATTTCTTCATCGCCAAAAGTTGTTTGTGTTTATTAAGCGATCTGTAAATAAACAAAATGGAATTGTAAATGAATAAGAATATGTATAAAAGCAGCAGGAGAGCATTTAAAAAAATTAAAAGAATCATTCATTCAAAATGTTCATCTTTACTAATTTGTTGCTTAATTAGCTTAAGTGTGCACTTGGACAAAAACAATATCAAGCAGAAAAAAAAAAAGATATTCATACAATTAATGTCATATTGAGAGCAATCGTAATACAATACAAATCTATTTAGAATCAACCTATCTGAGTTGACGAGATGTCATTACTCAAAAAGAACCATTTTAAATTAAAACTATTAAAAAATAGAACGCTTAACAATATGATTGTTTTTGCGATCCTATTTTGAAAGAAGCTTCCTCCTATACTATTTTTTCACAGTTTACTTTCACTCTTTTTATATATTTGTTTTGTTCTAAAAAGCTGAACATTGTCTGAGATTGCATGAAGGTTTATTCTTGTTTTTAAGTTTTCAACTTTTTACATGGAACTCCGCACAGACAACATCAAAAAAGAACAAAAATTCCTTTACAGAAACTTAAATTTCTCGTTGTTAAGCTTTCATTGTTACAATTACTTTTTTATCAGCTCCCTTCTTCGCGAGCTTTAAGCTGAAAGTAGTACTCAATTAAAGCCAACTTTAGCCTGCCATTTCGCGCTTAATTTTTTATCACCATCCTTGGCAGCCTGCATCCTGCTTTCCACTTTTCTCCATTCTTCCATCCCAGCAGAGCTGCTGAAAATCTCGCCGAAATTGAAGTCAAGTGTTTTCCCTTATTTTCTCTAGACATTCCTTTTTTTTTTGTTTTTACAGCCAGGACATAATAGCATGCTCCCACCCTTTCTTTCGCCTTCTCTTTCTCTCTACAACGTTATACACACACACCAGAACTCACACATGTACCAATATACACTCTACACGCGGCGGAAAATAACTTTTTTTTTCGGTATAAATGCCAAGAATGTTTTATTCCAAAACTAGGTTTTATTATTTTAGTCCAACTTTTGTTATGGCTCCATGGAGGAGTTTGTTTCTTAAAGTAAAAACTTTTGATACCTAAAACTCGTGCATAACATTAAGAATTTAATTTAGTTTATTAAAACTTTTACTAAGGTTGTTGGATGGGTATCAAGCTAACTAGAAAATGTATTTAATGGTTTTTAACACTGTTTAATGGAATGTGTGTTAAGCAAACTAGAAAATGTATTGAAAGGTTTTTTTTAACATAGGCAATGTAGTTGTTGAATCTGATATGGTTCTAGTTATAGTTACATTATTGAAAGACTTTGTTAAGGAATCATAAAATGAAAACAAAATATTACTCATCCGCCATGTTGCCTTGCCATTCAGTCGTTCGTACTAGGGTTACATGCTAAATTTCGAGCAGTGTGCACCGGTGTAAAAGCTTGAGCGCAGCACACAAGCCTTTTCCCGCTTTTCCCCATTTTCCTCTCGTCCGCCGCTTTTGGCTTTCGGCTTCAATTGAAGCGGCTAAGTTGACCTTTTTGTTAATAGCGCTCACACACCGCTACCCGCGAATACCAATATGCTGGAATATATGGCGAGGGAGCATTGTCTGCGCAGGAATTTGATGTTGGCACAGCTGATTGATTTATTGTCTGCCCGGCTGACAATCCTGAGTCCGCCAGTTGGCAGCTAAGCCAAACAGAGCCGCAAAATGCCAAAGGAGTATCCGCGCCGCACCGTATGCAATAAAAAAATTATCAACTGAAGCTCGGTGTGTTTTGTGTGTGAGTGTGTTTGTTTGTGTGCTCATGCCTCTGCGAGTGTGTGTGCATGTGACTTTGCTATAATTAAGAGCGTTGGCGAAAGCGAAAGCGACAGCGCGTACTAGCCGCCATTTTCATTTTACGATAACTACTTTCACCTACTTATTTGCCATTGCGGGAATGCATGCACTCGCTCCTAATTTTCACACAATTCAGAAACCCATTTCCCCACTCACCTGTCTCTCCGTCGGCAATGCGTCACCGCAACTGGCTTCTGTTTCAGTACTACCCCTTTCAATTAAAAACTTTGCTTCTGAATTTTTAATTTAGTTTCATAAATACTAAATAGTTTTAATGGCGTCAAAAATGGTACGCTCTTTCATCATTACACCTCACCTTCGATTGAACCACTTTCCTTCTTCTGCTTTATACTTGATTGTCCTTTTTTAAAAATAATAATAATGTCATTATTATTTAAACCTGCTTAATTTAAATCATATAACTTTCATTATTTTTTCGATTAAATAAACTTAACCTATTTAATTTTAAGTCATTTAACTTTTATTAGTTTTTCTATTAAATAAATTTAATCCTTATTAATTTTCTTTTTTCTGCTTCATACTTGATTGTCCATTTTTAAATAATTGTTTCACATTATTATTTAAACCTACTTAATTTTAAGTCATATGACTTTTATTATTTTTCTGATTGAATGAATTAAATTTCACCATTTAGCCCATACTCATTTTTAACATTTATCCATTAAACAATAAAAGCTAATTGACCTTCTTCTTTCATACTCTATTTTATTCCTTTAGCTTTTTTATGTTCATTAAATTCATTGAAATTTCACGGAAATTTTTACATACACTTTCCCGTTTTGTTTTTTTTATTTTTCCACCATTGCATGCGACATTACTCTCACCTTAAATATTCCAGCATTTTTGCTCCGGATTCATTTCCCCTTTTAATGAAATTCTTTCCTTTGCCATTTTAAATTTAATTTAATTTTCGAAAAGCTGTCATCATTTTTGTGCAACCGTGTTGGCATAATCCCTGGTTTTTTTCCCACCATGCATTACTTCTGATGTCCCTCAATTTTATCATTCCTCCCCTAAATGAAATACTCTTCTTTGGAATTTTTATGTTTAATTCCTTATTTACTTCGTTTTGCGTTCAAAAATTATCATTTAAATTGCAAAGCGTGTGCTCACTCATTACACATTCCCTCATGGCTGTTGCCATCTCGTCCCGAAAGCCTCAAGCATGCCAAAGTGTATGCCAAAAGTTCATAAAACTTTTAAGAGTCCCTCAACCAACAAAAATGAGACATAAATGCATAAATTTAATGAGTATCGAGCGGTTGGTCGTCGACGGTCAAGAGGCGTATATGAAACAGGGGGGCGTGGTCAGTTTCAGACTTCAAGATGTGGATAAGAGTGTCACTAACAGTGAGAGCTATCTCAATTATCTTTGGACAATGACAGCTGCTAACTAGAGTTATTTACTTAAGTGCAAATGCTAATTTTTCTTGGATAAGGTTAAAAGTTGTCTGTGACTCTAGAACATTTTGATGTATTAAAAGATTATCAGTCACTTAAGTTAATAGTCTAGGACAGAGCAAGCTAAGTCCAGTTTTAACGACTTTTAAATGCCCTATACCTCAAACTTTTTTTTGTAAGAATTTGATTATGGCAGTTTGTCAAACTGTTAAACTTCGGCCAACTTTTTTGTTGGATCATTGGACCATAATCAACACGTTGAAAGTAATGGAACAGATTTGTAGCAGGTCCCATCAGGACTTTTTCTTTTCAAAGTTGCCCATAAAACATTGGTCCCCTTTTTTTACAGGCGCTTACAGGCAATTTTCCCAATTGGTTCTCCGGGCAAGTGAAATCGGTAACGGTCCTCTGGGTGCCGTATTCTTTTACAATGTCAATAAAAGGAAATGTAGGAGCCGCATGTAACATGTTATTGGTTTACTTTTGTGAAAAGCGCAAAATCAAAGTAAACGGTGCCAATAAACGAGTCAAAAATGTACAGCGACATAAGGTTAGAGGGGGGAGGAAACTCTTAGACCAACGCAAAAACACAAACCACACATGTAAACCACATAGTTTCCAGTCGTGCATGCTAATCGAAAATCCAAAAAACACAAAGGGAATATTCCCACAAAACACACGCATGATCGGGGCAATCCACAAATTGAATTGTCTGGTGCAGATGAAACATGGTATGAATATGGGATTATGTATACCACATTAGGTATGCATCGTGTGTGTGAGGTTAGTGTTGGGCTTGTATTGCTAGGTGAGGTTGCCCACATGGCGTATGCGCAATGCCAATTAAAATCAAAAGCCCGGCCCCAAAAAGTATGCAGCACATAATGTAATTGCGTATCGTTTCTGTTTCTGTTTTCTTTCGCTTCGATCTGGTTAATGAATAACGAATGAGTCGTGTCGTATCGCTTAATTGTGATTGAGTTGAGAACACAGCTCATTATAATTAATGTAAATGTTGCACATACATATACATAAAGTAAGCCGAATAGTTTTTGCACAAATATATGCGCATATTTTGCCGCAGGCCATTAATGCCATTCTGATTTATTGCAGCCTCCTCGCAGCCAAAAACACTGGGCGATAATTAACCGCATACCACAAGCCGCACCGAGGAAAAGCAAATACCGAAATCAAAACAAAACAAATCGGTAACTGAAGGAGAACAATAAAGGGGCGAAAAAGCAAAGGTGGCGTACAATGCGGCCTAAATACTTTGGCAATTATGCCAAAATTGTTAACAAAATACGAAATGTATCAAACTAACTAAAAGCGACAGCAGGAAACCGCAGAAATTACAAAGGACCAAGGCACAAGGGATAGGCGACGACAGGTGGCAGTTGGTCGCTTGGGTCCTTAATTCGGAATTCATTTCGTGGAGGACCGAAAACGTCCCCTTCGATTGCCGAAAAGAAAGCAACAGAGCTCAGGCCCGAAACACAACCCAGACCCCAGTCCAATTGAAACCTCAATAGAAATACAAACGGAAGCCGAAACAAAAACTCACTTAAGTTGCCATCCAAATCAACGGCTGTCAGACAAAAAGTCGCTTTTTATTGATTTTTATAAAGCCAAGCAGCAACACCAAAAAGCAATGAACAGCAAAGAATAATAACACAAGCCGCAGAAGCAGAAACAAAATAAAAATAAAAATAAAAACAAAAAGCGAACGCAATGTGAATAATTCCCCAGTTGAACAGAAGTGAGCACGAAACAGAAAAACTGTTGGAATATTCCCTGCTCCCGCCCCCTCGTATCCTATTTCCCCCTCCCCGTTGGGGGGATCCCCCACTATACAATAAATACAATACTATCGCAACGTTCATCAAATGCGATTCGATTCGATGACGATTCAAACAGGAGACACCGGAGAGACGGACGCACACGGAGCCCCATAAAAATGTGTTATAAAAATATACACGCATAAATTTCCCCCCCAACAAGGACATAAATATATCAAAGCCCGGCCGGGGAAAATTTAATGCAAATGTCATTGACAAAGTCAATTAGCAGGAAAGCCAACGAAACGAGCGAAAATGCTGCAGCTGCACAATTGAAAAATTGAAAATTGATTACGGGAGACACACTCAAACTAAACGGAAAAGCGGGGCAAAAGCAAGACTGATTTTATGTTTAGTTAGATTATTTTTAAAGCAACTATTTTGTGAGGAAAAACCAGAAACTGCAACAACGAATTAGCCAAGCGGAAACCCTAGCAAAGAGGAGAACCAACCGACCACAGAGAAAGCAGGAACAGGGAAAGCAGCTAAACCAGCTAAAGCAACAAAGGCATCGACATCCCCAACGAAAAGCAACCGGATTCATACGAAAGCATGTTTGTGTTCATAGCTGTGCTGTTTGTTAACGCTTGCCTAGCGGGTAAGTACCAGATCCCAGGTCCCACAATTTAGGGTCGTAAGCTCCCTCAAACAAGTCGTAATGATTCGGAGCAACAATGTAGCAGAGGGTTACCAAAACCAGCTCAAAATGTATCCATTTACTAAAGCTTCATCAAAGTTATTTGAATGTAAAGTTTAAAGTTTCCATAGTTCCGATCTTACAATTATTTGTTTGAGTGTAGGAAAGTTAGACAAAAGAATTTATCGGTTGTCTAATTCAAACTCGAGTTTATTTTTAGGCTTGTCTACCAATATAAATATTCCGTATATATATTGCCTTAGGAACAGAGCAAAGAGTGAAAAGGAATTTAGGTCACACGATTGACTAATCGACTATTGACCAATAAACTTTTGTAAAATACACAACTTTAAAATGCTTTCTCAAAATATACAGATATTTAGATTTTTTAGTGCTTAAACTCGCAAAGGAGATTTTATTGCTTATATTTTTAATCAGATTAAAGTGATTGTCAGAGATTGGCTTACTCTTTTAAATGAATGCAGTTTAATTTGCATAGAACAGTAGCATTTTTATACCCTTGCAGAGGGTATTATAATTTTGGTCAAAAGTGTGCAACGCAGTGAAGGAGACATCTCCGACCCTATAAAGTATATATATTCTTGATCAGGATCACCTCCTGAGTTGATATAGCCATGTCCGTCTGTCTGTCCGTCTGTCTGTCCGTCTGTCTGTCCGTCTGTCCGTCTGTCTGTTTCTACGCAAACTAGTCTCTCAGTTTTAAAGCTATCGAACTGAAACTTTGCACACACCCTTCTTTCCTTTGCACGCAGTATATAAGTCGGAACGGACGGGATCGGCCGACTATATCCTATAGCTGCCATATAACTGATTGATCGGAAATGCCATAACTTTGGTGTTTGGAAAGCTAGGAAGCTGGGACTTCCTATGGGTTTTATATTTGACCAATCAATCCGACCTACCAAATTTCATAAGGATCGGCCGACTATATCCTTTAGCTGCCATATAACTGATTGATCGGAAATGTCATAACTTTGGTGTTTGTTAAGTTAGGAAGTTGGGATTTTCTATGGGCTTTATTTTTGGCCAATCAATCCGACCTATCAAATTTCATAAGGATCGGCCGACTATATCCTATAGCTGCCATATAACTGAACGATTGGAAATGCCATAACTTTGGTGTTTTTAAAGTAAGAAAGTTGTGATTTTTTATGAGTATTATGAATGCATCATATGAATAATTTTGGAGAATATAATTTACAGAGTATTCTGCAAGGGTATATCAACTTCGGCTTCGCCCGAAGTTAGCTTTCCTTTCTTGTTTATCAGTAATTTGGTGAAGGACTGCATTGTATTAATTAAAGAGCTTTAGACTATTAAAGCTATGAACATATTAAAATAAATTTAAAACTTTTTTGACACCAGATTTTATCTAATTCAAATTTGATTTTATTTTTGTTCATTGCTTTATAAGTTTAAATAGATTTCCGTATTATTATTGTGAAAAAGAATTCATGTCAATTAGCAAGCCAAATAAAAAACATAATGTAAAAAATATTTCAACACTTAACAATTTATTTACATTTGCTTACATTCAAATTTAAATTGGTTGCATTGGCAGAATAACATTTAATTCATTAATTAAATAAAGAAGTTTGTAAAAGCGAAAAAAAGTAATGTTCAATTGATACCAAGTTATACTTTTTTGAAAAGCATAAAAAGCAGGGATACAAAGCCATAAAAAAGAAAATCACAGTTTTTTTTTTCGTCAATTGATAAAAGATTGACAGCTTTATCACTTCTTCTTGTTGGGTCAAGACAACTTGAGGAAAATCCGCAAAGCTCCTAATTTTATGACACGACTCAAGGGCTTACGTCTTTACGATACGGCTCCAACCAAATCCAGCTAATCCCCCAGACACATAAACTTGGCCAGTGCCAGTGAATTACTATGTATATACTATAAGCATTTACAGCGATAATGACATAATAACTAGCAATTATCGTTATAATAGGCACCATTCCGGCTACGCCGGAGAACATAACCGTCACATTTCTGACGCCTACGGCGGTCCGAGTGTCGTGGCAGACGCAAATCGATCTGAAGGCACATCCCATCGAGAAGTACATCGTGACGTACAAGCCGACAGATGACAGGTAGGTACCACTAACAGAGCTAGAACTCAATCCGCTGGGCCACTTGACTGTCTAAATGGCGGTAAAGCACACTTACTTACTTACTTACCATCCAACTGACTGGCTAAAAGGGAGCTTTGAGGTTGGGAGGTGGCTAGTGCACGGCAAAAAATGTGCAAAGTGGTCCTAACCGGAAAATATCAATGTTTGACCTTTTGAAATAAAATGAGCTCGAAATGATAAGAGCCCTATGTAAATGTCCTACGTTTTGGATCAAAATAAGCTTAAATACCGGGTTTTATTTTATCTAGGCCGTTCTCAAATGCCAAACGATTTGGATCAAAATAAGTCATATTTTTGGGATTGATTTGATCTTGGTCGTGCTAGTATATATGGGATCGATATGAGCTCGAATACAGGCTTTAAAACAGCACCAGCTCTACTAAAATATAAAATCAACATTTTAAGAGCAACATAACTACAAAATCCCTCTCTTAATTCCGTTTTGCGATTGGTTCAATCTTGATGGGATTACATTTTTTAATGCATAAATATAGACACATTTTAATTTATTTAATTCTATATTAATAGCAATTATAAATTCTCTAAGTGCTGACTTCGATGTATCTTCTATATATATAGATCAAAACCGGAACATTAATTTTAACATGATTGTTTGTTCTTTTGAAAAATTAAATTTAAATAATCAAAAAAATGCGAACCAGAACCTCAACATAGAACTTTTTGTATTAAGATTTAAAGTCAACCAATGCAGGGAGATAACATTTGGGATAATTACCCTTAAAATATAAAATCCATGGCAAGTTAAACAAAAATCATAAATTTTCCTGTTTTCTCACGGTACCGAACAGTTGCAACTGCATTTATGCAAAGTCCAAGCGCACAAAAACAACACTGCCTGCAATTGACGACCCGTGGAATGAGTTCGTGGCCAAAAGCCTGTGGGCTGGGGGCGTCAGTGGGCAGGGGGCGTGGCAGCGGTCAGTCAAGAGCACTGTCTGCTCTCATAATTGTGTGTGTGCGCCTGCTTGAGGCTCGTGCTTTTGTGCGAGTGCGAGTGTGTTTGGTTGGCCATGAGCTAAATAACGGGCCAAGTTAAAGTAAACTGGGGTAAGGGAGTGGGTGGGAAAACCCCAAGTAGAGGCAACAACACGAAAATGGGAAACTTGAGGCCAAATTGACCGCGACTGCAGGCCAAAAGAAAAACAAAAGCCGCGTGTACTTCGAGTCAAGTTATTTAAAACAAAGGCAAAATGCGAGTTTTGTAGACAAAGCGCGGCCAATTTCCCAAGAATTCCCAACTCGAACCACCAGCTGTCAAAACTGAAATCCGAATTATGCTGGATTTCTCAAGCAATTTCACATTATTTGCAAAAGTTTTGTCTAAGAAACTGAACACATTTTTAAATTATTTTTGACAGAGAGAGATAAGGTTCTTAAACTTATTAAATTGCCCAAACGTTTTCTTAATCCCTATCGACATCAACATTAAATTAAAGTTTGCACAAGAGAAAAGCCTTTAAAAATTTTAAAGCAAAGCGAATTTTGAAATAAGAAAAATCAAATAGCAATGAAGAGTTTCTTGTATGGATAGATTAAAGTTATAAATTCGTATATATGAATTTTCTCAATCAATTTGATATTTTAAAATGACTGTTTTAAAGTTTTAATATAGACTGCATTAAAATATATATCTTTCGAAATTTAAAAATAAACTATTTTGAATGTCTTTATTAATAACTGTTATACCAACGAAACAAAATTTACCAGCGTACGGAAAATGCGAATCCTCATAAAGTTTGTAACTTTTTTTGTCGAACGTTATTGCCACTCAATTAGGTGCGATTTGCCAAGAGCTTGAGTTGTGAAAAGTTCGAGTTGCCCAAGTTTTGCTGTATATAAACGTTATTCTCGAACAGCGAGTCATGTGCACACACATATGTCAGGGACTTTGCGACCGTGCCAGTTTCAGTTAACTCTCTTGGCAATATTCTTGATGATTTACCGAAATAATGCAGCCCAGCTGCAGCTGTCTTGCCTGCAATTTACCATCTTACCATTCCCATTTGCATTGCCAGCTCCACACGTCCCATTCTCGCTGATTGCTATTTCTCATCGCCGTGTTTGCTGCGTGGCAACCGGAAGAGAAGCAGCAATCTTGCATATAGCACCCAAGAGATAGTCTTTAGTATCTTTAAAATATCGGGAATAAAAATAAGACAAACTTATTTTTAAAATCCTGGTTAATAAAAAAAATATAAATGTATACTTATCAATCCAAATGAGATCAAAATAACACAGAAATACATAATAAATATAAATTTATTTGTTTTCTTTATTAACCAGGACAATGAAAGTAACTTTCTGTTCTATTGTTATTCTGAAAATAAATATTTCAAAGCAATGTTTGGCACGTTTCTGCAATTTTAGAAAATTTTAATTTCGAACAACAAGCAATAACATTTTGATATTTGCCTATTTATTTCCTACAGCTAAGCATAAAAACGGTTTAAAATAATTATTACATTATAGTTTTACATTTTAAAAATATTTTAATTTGGTTGTGGGAATCAAATTGTTTGTTTCTATAGTATAACTGTTCGTCAATTAAAACTTAATTGTGTTCCGTTCAGAAACATATATTTTTTTGCTAATTGCCAATGCATGTTTTCACCGTGTTCTGATGGGTATGAGATGGGCCGAATGGCTTGCATATTTCGCCAGCAAACTAAGCACTTCCGCTCCTTGTTGGCCAAGTCCAAGCGGCAGTTTTTAGCCCGTTCGCGATGCCATGGAATGCCGTCCGTGTAATAAGTTAAGTGCTCGGCTTTTGTGCCTTTTGACTGCAGTCCGCTGCCGACTGTTGGCCAAGGTGTTTTTCAATTTAATGGCTCGTGTTGCGTGAGTGTGTGTGTGTGTGTGTGTGTGTGTGTTGGCCATTTTCTGTTGGCTGCATGAGCGTGTTTTGTCTTTTACTGCCCGCCATTCCAATGCTAAGCCGTCGCTTTGTTGTTGTTGCTCTAGCCGTTGGCCCGTTCTTCTATAAAGTTCACGCCTATGTCAAAAATTTTATTACAAAACTTGGGCTCATGCTGGTGTTTTTTCGGTAGTTGCCTCGTTCGTTTGGTCATTATTTATTAGTCAGTTTGTTTTTAATTTTTGTGTTACTTTCCTATCGATTTTTGTTGTATTACATACTTCCGACTGCCAGTCATTATGGTGGGCGGTTGGCTGTTGGCCGTTGGCCGTTGGCGGCGGTTTCCCTGGGCTCTATCTTCCTGCCGTTTTTCGAGTAAATTGTGCCCGTGAATAATGTATGATTTGTACATAGACACGTTGACGGTGAGTCGGCTCGAGCTTTGGCTTTGGCATTAGCTTGGGCTTCGCCTTGGACTCGAGCTCCCCGAGTGGAATAGACTTTTGTCCTAGACGTTTCAGACAGGTACACAGATATGCCCGAACACACATCGATATCCACGTGCATATGCACAGGGAGAAATTCTGAGGTTTCAGGATTAGTAGGCCTTTTTAATTGTAAAATACATTAAAGGCGTGAATTGATAGGATTGCAATTGTGGTTTAAGAAACATAAATGGTAATATTTTAAAGGTGTACAATTTACTTTTAAAAAATTCAAAAGTTCAATAACAATCATTTTTAAACAACCTTAGTAGCGGGCTGAAAATATAATGGGTAATAATTGATTTTAAAATAATTAAGACGCTACTTTAAAACATATTTGCCTTTCTTGGACTTTCACAGCACTTCTTTAGGCAAATTAATAAAGGCTCATTTTAAATATTCCCCAATAATTCTTGAAGATCAAAATTACAAATTGTATATTCAATTTTTTTTATTATTTTTATTCCTTACCAATTTAATAAAAAAAAGTTGTTTCTGGAAACAATGTAAGAAGTATTCAAAATAATTTTTAATAAACTTAGTCAAATACGTCAAAATTTTGATTTTATAATAAACAATTGCTTTTTATCTATAAAAGTTTTCAAATTAAAATGTATGTCTTAAATATACAATTTACCAAAAATGTATTCCTATTTATAACTCTTAAAACTGGCTTTTTATAATAAATAATTTTCAAACCTTTTATTTTTAATTAATTCACAATGTTCTCTCAATGCACCGTACATGCTCCAAATTGCTAAGTGGATTTATGAAATTCTTGACGAACAATGAGTGGCTGTTGTGGGGGGTTGGCTTTCTATACGTCCAAGCATGTCAAGCACCATCAATAACAATAATAATTAATAACAATTACTGTCCCACAAGAGGAGGCGGAGAAGTTGTAAGAGGCGTAAAATGGGCGGGGCGACCTGGACATGTGCAGGCGGAGTAGATGGAAAATCCCGATCAATAAATAGCCGTGTTCTAGATTTTATTCATTATCCTTATCTGCGTTTTTAGAGCCAATTTGACATTATTAAAATTGAAATGTCAAGGTCCCTCCAAAAATATGTGCTGTGTAATGACTAAGCGGATGAGATTTGAGTGCTGCCAGCTGTGCTTCGTCGTTTTCTCGGATGACAACATAAATTTTCCAGTATAAGCCATAAAAGTGCACATTGCGCAGTAACAGGAAATGAAACCGAGAGCCAACATAACGTAAACCTGATTTGCATCGGGTATATGAGCAAATAAGCAGGCTTTGTGCTGTTTCCAAGGAATTCCTGTGTTTGCATTCGCTTTTTCCTTGGAAGTTATCTATCCGCCCATTAAGTCCTTCATTGAACTTTGATGGACCTGTCCAAAGGGGCGTATGCGTATTTTTAATTGCATTTTTAAGTTAATGCAAATGCAGGACGATTGTCACGAAACACTTTGCCTGCCGATCAAATAAAAATGGTTAGTTACATGCTGGCGCACATGCTGGCCGAAAGTATAGTTTTTGAGAACCGCTCGTGAACGTCATAAGTTATTAAATAACATCAGAAGCCCCGGTTGCCTTTCGTGCGAGTACACATTTGTATATTTTGTATGACATATTGTATGCACACTGCGAAGTTTGAGTAACGAATGCGAAAGTTGTGCTGCCCAGTAAGCTAATTGTTTATTTATCAAACCGGAACGAACCGGATAACGCTCACAAAAGGGGACATTAAAAAAAAAGGGAAAAGCCGGCCGAAATGCATATTTTCAGCCATATTTCTGAATATCAAATGACTCAGAGCCCCACAATCAGGCCGTAAAGGGAAAAGAAAACCGGCGAGAAAATTAGAAACTTCCTTTGCTTCCTTCTTGAGGAAATTCGCTTGCATTTCTTATGGCCAAAAGGGCAAGGGATCCACCCAGAAAAATACCAGTAAAATTGGAGCCATGGCGTGAGTTTAAATTGTGTATAATAAGCGGCTTCCCCGGCGAATTTAATGCCAAACAGCCAGAAAAGCGGTGCGAGAACCGGGGATTAAATTTGATTTGCCCCAGGCGTCGCCACATGATGAAAACTTTAACGGCCAAACTTTAGACAACGCCTGGCGCTGTCACATATGGCGGATCGGATCCACCGATGTTTGCCCAAGTCGGTCCCAAGTCGCCCCAATTCCAGTTGCCCTGCGGCCGCGGGTCTATTGGCTGGGTGCAAATGGATGTGACACATGCGGCTGCTAATCAATTATTTAGCCGCCGGCGCGGGCGAATCGAGAGGAGTTTTTGCCGACCAGCCAGATGTAAATTCACAATGAGCCGTAAAAGCCCGCTTATGTCGGTAAATCGTATCAATTGGTAGTCTTATCAAGGGAAATTCTATCTGAAAAAAGCTTAAGCTGTGAAAAAACACAGCCTCATCTATGTTCCAAATAGTTATCTTTATAGGTATAGTAAAGTTTATTGGACGAGGGAGGTGAACTCTCATATAAATTATTTTTTTGATTTTTTATCCGTAATCTCATTGATGAACATCGAATTTTTTTAATTAATATGAATCCAAGTATGAATTTGCATCAAGGCTTATTTTTATCTCTTTTTCTAGCAGGAATGTTTATCGTTTTTTTAATCGGATTTATTTTTGTAGATCAACACGTATCAAATTAATAAAAAAGGGCAGAGACAGCATTTTGACCTCCTTAAACGCATTTAATCTTATATTAAAATAGGCTTTCAACAATACATAATTGAGCGTTCTTAATTATGTGTATATTGATTTGATCAGCGATTAAAATCATGCCAATTAATTATCTTCTTGTGAATATTAAAAAAAAATTTTGTATATTGTATTTCGCTTATTCACTGTTACAATATTTCCTATATGTCTAACTTTTTTAACTCACTGCTCTTCACTTATTTATTTTGGGCGAACTCTACTATACGGAGTTTAATAATCAAAATCAATTCTTGACTTAACAGAGTTATTTCCAAAAACATAAAAATTTGTCAATTAAATTTGAAAATTAAACTCTTCCTGAAATTGGTGTTTAAATTAACGGACTTTGGAGCTCTTGTGTTTATAGAATCGCCTGTGGTGTTTACAGTATCCTGCTGATGCGGAGTATGTGAAATTGATCTGGGTGGGAATCATTTGAGGCGTGAAAAAAATAGTGAACTTCGGATTTATCACGGAGTCAGTCAGAGTTTTTTCAAATTGAGCTCTTGGCTCAAAGATGTTTATAAATTTTGCAAGGGTTCCTTAATACCGTGCCATAAAACTTGCATGCATAAATTAAACAGTGACACATTGCTTTTAAAGAAAACATGAGGAATCATTAAATTACATTGCATGTTTGTAAAATGAAGCCAATTTGCATTGTACTTTATAATATTAATTCAAATGATAATTTCAAAAGTTTTAAAATTAAAAAAAATTTATTTTTTCCGGAAAACCAATTTAAGTTGGATTAATTTCGATTTTAAATTATTTTATTTTTAATGATAATATTTGTACATTTATTTTTATTAAATATATATATACTTTTTATTTGTTTATATGCTGAAATTTATTTCCATAAATTAAGAGCATTGTTAAATCGACCAATCGGCAGTGTTCACCTGTGCTTTGTTTTTACAAAATTTACCTTTGCTTGTTCGACGTAGTTTTGCTTCGTCTGCTGGCGGAATGCGAGACACTTCTGTTTTCTGTTTGGACATCGGTTCCACTGGGGGCCATTCGGAGGTCTGTGGGGGAGTGTGTTTGTTACATGTATGAATAATGAATCATTTGTCAGGCGCTTGTTGTTGCTACGGCCGTAGTAATAGGAGCCGGTGCACAAAGGCCAGAAGTCTGGGCCACTTTTGCCGCCCCACGCACTTGGCGCTCGGCACTTGGCAATCCGCACAAGGAACAGGATCGGTGGGTGGGTAATGTGAGCTCAATTGGCAAATCTAGGACATGTTTGGTAACTGCTCCGGCTCTGGCGAAAGTGACAAAGTGAAATATTGGCCGATGGTGTAATTACCAACACGGACCGGCCTCATATTTCACGACTTGAATGTTGTAGTTTGTTCAATTAGCGCACACACACAGACACACACATGCGATTGCACAATCCGCCGCAAACCTCAAACCTCCAACCACCAACCTCCCACCGCCCCCTTTCACCCTTAGCTGCCGTTCGAGAGTGGTAATTGAATTAATTTAAGTTACAGGGTTGTACAGGACGTCGCCGGCAGCAGCGAGGCCATTGTCCTGGATCGCCTGCTGCCCAGCACACAGTACTCCCTCGTTGTGACGGCCATTTGGCAGGGCAAGAAGTACCGCAGCCGTGGCCAGATCAAGTTCAAGACGCTGGGTGAGTAACCCGTGGATCTGATCCTTGGATGTACTCATAATCGTTTGATCCCTCTCCCCCAAGATCTGCCCAAGAACACCTCTCAGCAGGACTTTCCGCCGGGTATCTATGGTAATGGCAGCAATGGCGGTCGCAATGGAAGCGCAAATGCCAGCATCTTCGGCGACGATGTGACCTCCACGGCTACGAACACTCTGACTCATGGAACAACCAGGGAATTGCCCACTGTAAGACTCGGAGATACTCTCATATTAAATACTATTTAATTTGCACTAGAAATGACTATTTTTTTTTAAGCAAGCAATTTTAGAAGTAGAAAAAAAATAATGAACAATTTCAAGCTATTAAAATATTTAGAAATATATTTAAAATATACTTATAAACTTTTTGATTTCAAACACCATACTATTATTATTATTTATTTGACTGGCGTTCTAAGTGCAAAACCACATTCTAACATATAGGTTAATAGCTTAAGAATTTCAAATATCTTTAACTCATTCTTGCATAGTGATATACTAACTATTTTTGTGCAAACGACTTTTTCAAAATGTCCATCGTAAAATCTTAAAATCTTGGGCACAAATTCTTTCTTAAACAGTTGGGAATTTTTATACCCTTGCAAAGGGTATTATAATTTTGGTCAAAAGTGTGCAACGCAGTGAAGGAGGCATCTCCGACCCTATAAAGTATATATATTCTTGATCAGGATCACCTCCTGAGTTGATATAGCCATGTCCGTCTGTCCGTCTGTCTGTTTCTACGCAAACTAGTCTCTCAGTTTTAAAGCTATCGAATTGAAACTTTGCACACACCCTTCTTTCCTTTGCACGCAGTATATAAGTCGGAACGGCCGGGATCGGCCGACTATATCCTATAGCTGCCATATAACTGATTGATCGGAAATGCCATAACTCTGCTGTTTGTTAAGTTAGGAAGTTGGGACTCTCTATGGGTATTATATTTGGCCAATCAATCCGACGTACCAAATTTCATAAGGATCGGCCGACTATATCCTATAGCTGCCATATAACTGATTGATCGGAAATGCCATAGCTTTGGTGTTTGTAAAGTTAGAAAGTTGGGATTTTCTATGGGTTTTATATTTGGCCAATCAATCCGACCTACCAAATTTCATAAGGATCGGCCGACTATATCCTATAGCTGCCATATAACTTAACGATTCGAAATGCCATAACTTTGGTGTTTTTAAAGTTAGGAAGTTTGGATTTTTTATGAGTATTAAGAATGCATCATAGGAATAATTTTGGAGAATATTATTATAGAGAATTCTGCAAGGGTATATCAACTTCGGCTCCGCCCGAAGCTAGCTTTCCTTTCTTGTTTATTTTAAGTCCAGTTTAAAAGTTTTCAATTATGGTAAAAATTATTATTATTTAAAAAATGACTTATTGCAGCGGATTTGTTACATTTATTTATTTTACATTATTTATACATGATAGTATTACAAGTTAATTTGTATATTTATATATTTGGACTGTTTGGCGGTGTAAAACTGTAAGATAATAACGATTTAAAAATATTAAATATATCCTGTGTTGATTTATTTGTACAGATACGCGGCGTGGAGATCGGCATCGTCCTGATCGTGCTGATGGTGTGGGCCGGAGCCATCGCCCTGTTTTTCAACCGGTGGGGCAAGATCCGGATGCTGCTGCCCTACCAGCCGGACTACAAGCACGAGCAGCTGAAGGTGCCGGGCACGGGAGTCTGCAGTGCCAGCGGATGCAATGGCCAGCACTCGCACCAGGTAAGTGCCACCCGAGGAGTCCCAATCCCGATCGGGGAGGTGGGGATGATGGTTGTGCGGGCTTCTAGGAGTACGCGGAGCGCTGAGCGTTTGGATTTTCGCGAAGGAACTTATCTCCGTTTCGTTTTTGTTATGCTTCATTTTTAGAACCTACACCCCGATTTCTTTGTCAAGGTATTCAAAAACAACAAATTCTTCAAACTACTTATATACGAAACAAACAAAAATATCTTTGCATTTTATTCGCTTTTTTTCTATGCATCAATTCAAGTAAATATTCGAATCTTATTGAACAAAGTACACTCACTGTTTCCTTTTTAATCCGTGCACAGCCCCGTCCATGCCCTCGAATATAGCCTGAATCCTTTCTAAAATTTTCCGAGAATGTCCTAGAAGTTTATTGAAAATGCTTCGTGTTAATTAAATTCTTCTACAGCTTCTTCAGCTACTTTGTTTGTCCGTTTATGAATTATTTAATTGGGGGTCGCTCAATTTAAATATTCGCCCAGAAATGTATTTAATTTTCTCTGTGTAAATCAGACTTTCTCGACTGATTCTTATTATGATTTGCTTACTAAGATAGCACGTGCTAGTTTCGCCTTTATTTCGGCTTTCTTTTCCGTAGGCTTATGGCACTAGTTTTGGGACATACTCTCTGGATCTAAACTGTGCCTTATCCCTTGGCCTTTCTGCAGAGTATGAGGTCTTCGGTCCACCGAAGTCAACTAGCGATTCCACTTAGATTTATTAAGCTCAGGATGCGCTATGCATATGAGAGCACCTCTAATTTATAACTCGTACTATCCACATTCCATATATATACAGTCGAACTCTTCTAAAGTAAAACTTGAACATTAAATAGTATAAATAAATTGTTAAGCTCTAACAACATTACTAAAACATGAATAGAACTCAATTTGATTGAGTATCTTTACTTTTTTCAAGTCTTTTTTTATGAAACAAATCAGTATAACTTAAATAAGATGATCACCTTTTTGATGACTTTAAATATCACATAACTTGCAAGATATATTATGATACATTAAAGGTATATTAGAAAAATGCCATTTTACTAAAGTAAAATTAATAAGCTATTAGAGAAGTTCGCCTGTATTTTAAATGCATTTAGCGGATTACTGTTTTTGGTTTTGAGCTTTGCTGTTCAGGTTGGCGCTTTCCCGTGATCTCACTGACCAAACGTTCCCTACTTTCACTTCGCTCTCGCCTGCTGATCTTGTTCCTGCTCCTGATCCTGCTCCTGCCGCCCTAACTGTTTGCCGCTTCCGATCCCTGGGTTTTTGGTTGCAAGCAGTGTTTGCCCCGTTGCGAGGGCTGCGGCCTGTTCGACCGCTGCTTCCAGTACCCGCGCAGGGAGCTGGAGCGGGACTGCGGCTGCCAGTTTGCCCTGCTGCACAAGGCGGACGTGGAGAGCTAGCAACCAGCGCACCGCGAAGCCTCCTCGGCGGCCGTGAGTGCGGCCTCCAGCCATGGACATGGCCACAGCCATGGCACTCCGGTGAACACCTATGTGCGCGGGCCCAGCGTCGACAATCAGTCGATTGTGGGCGCCAATGTGCTGGAGAATGTCGATAGCGTGGAAGTGGCCGACGGGGACATGGACAACGAGGTCGAGGGGGACGAGGTCCCGGACAAGGATCAGGAGGATCAGCAGCTGCTGCAGCGGGAGAAAGAGCCCGTCCATCGCGTATTGCCGCTGCAGGCGGGCGGCATCAAGCAGCGGAAGTTCGCCCAGCAGCGCGGCATTCTCAAGAACTCGCAGGAGCGCACCTTCGTCGAGGAGGACGAGGTGCTGGAGGCTAAGAAGCAGCTCATACTGCGCCGTCGGCGCCTCTTCAGCCACTATAGGCAGTACGACCAGTGGCGGAGGCGGCAATTCAGCTACGACCCCAGCTACTTTCGCCCGCCTCCGCTGCCGCCTCGAGCGCTGGCATGCGCTGATCACCAGCTGGGGGCCACCACCGATGCGGCATCGGGGGCATCCTCGGCCAGCGCCGGGCGGAGGAGGCGCCAGTACCGGAGGCAGTACTCCTGTGCGGACCGATCGCGGGAGGGATCGCGCGACAGCCGCGGCTCGTCGACGATGCAGCTGCAGATGCAGAAGTACCACAGCCTGGTGGCCAGCGACACCATCCACACCGAGTCGTCGGTGCTCAACCACAGCAACTACAGCGAGCCGGCCAGCGTAAGTCAGCCAGCTAGTGTTGGGTGGAACGATCAAGACACGGAGTGGCTCACTTTGGCGAGGGAACAAGGGATGGTCAATGGGGTGTACCTTTTATTTTTGGTTACGTTCTGTCCTAAGTTTTCATCTATTTTATTACTATGTTCCTGTGTGCAGTTTTTTAATACAAACCTTTCGTTTTTCGTACAGTTTAGTCTTTCTATCTCTTGTTTGTTCTTGTATAGAGTATTTAAATATTTGTAACTTTTATTACTCATACGCAGTGTTAGCCCTGTCCAGGAGAACTCGGAGATTTACGCTTTATTTATTAAGCTCGTAAACAAAATTATCGGGTTTATAGAAGTTAACAGAATGACCAATAAAAACCCTTTGCTTAAAAACTTTTAATTTGGATTACCTGTCGTATGCTTAATTTTTGTTAGTTTACTGGCGGCTTTTAAAATCAGAAAATTTTAATGAAATTTTGTTTGTTATTGAAAGTTAAATTTATCAGCATAGGGAATTATTTGAGATAGTCAAAGTCCCAAATAAATTTAAGTATTAACTTTTAAACTAACTTTTACAACATTTTTTAAGCCCTTTATAAGTTTCAATTTCAATTTGTGCACTTTAAAAGTTTGTTATTACAGTGCAATATAAAACATATGCCATAAATTATGCCTTAATAAAAATTAATGCAAATTTAAACAGCTTCTACCTTTTTAAATGGTGTGTACGCAAACACAATCATAAAATGATTGCATACATGTTTGGTTGTTGAATCCAATAAAAGTAAATACAATTTGAAATGCTTTTTTCCGTCGCTCAATTAAATAGTTTATCATTTGTTTCACTTTGTTTATTTTTGGTATTCAAACTGTTAACCATAGTATTTATTCTTTCTGTCAGTCAATTAAACTATTTAACATTGATACAATTGATTATCAAATTTATAATTTTTTAAAGTTCATCGCCAAAATATTCCCAAATGAGTATAAATACTGAGCAGAATGAGTAACTCCGTTCCGTCGCTAAAGGTTGAGCCACCGACTTTGTCCACTTAAGTGACCCAGGTGTTCCCAACACTAGCCCCCAGCACTTGCAGCTTGTGGAGCACGTGCACATGGTTTTGCTTGGAGTTCGAGTTCCCGTTCGAGTTCGATTTCGAGTTCCACTTCAGATTGCAGCCCGGAGCACCAAATCGCACCACTCACCCATCAGCACCCTGTACAGAACTTGCAGCTATCTACCTTCACTGGATGGAAACGGCCCGCACTCGCTCACTTCTCTCACAGCAAAAATCACAAACCGCAATTCGCAATTCGCAATTAGCAATTAGCATCCGCTTGAGTCCCAGCTTCGTGTCCTGTCTCTTTCAGTAGTTAGCCAGTAGCCAGGTAGATGGTCCCACGCTTGTCGCTTGTCGCTTGCTCCTGTTCTTGTTGTTCCAGTGGCCTCGCTCAGGTGTGGCGGGAGGTCCTTTGTGCGGGCTTATGTGTTGTGCGTGTGAATCCCCTCGGAACTGTCCGCTCTACTGTCTCCTCTCTATCTATTTCTATCTCTCTTCCCTCTCTCTTCCTGTGCTCCTTGCGGGACGCAGTTCGACAGCAGTGAATGTGCCCACCCACCGTTGCACTGCAATAGCCGCGTAAGCAACTGGCCGGAGGATGCGGCATCAACCAGCAGCGATCCTTACTGACATCCTTTCCATTGCAGCACATCCACATGCTGGCCGAGGAGCATTCCACCTCCCTCTCGGAGCGCTGCACCCGCAGCCGGATCAACTCGGCCATCTTCGTGTCCTCGGAGGGACGGGGCTTCGACTCCATCGAGTTCCTGCGCCGCCACGGATCCCAGAGCGTGCTCTGCCGGAAGGCCAAGAGTGCCGAGAACATTACGGAAAACGGCCGAAGGGTGAGTGAAAGGATAATAAAGTACTATAATCGTCACTTGTTATTATTATAGGCTTTTAAAACCAACTAAATAAAATAAAAGTTAGTTCTTAATTATTATTTAAGTTAAAAAACTGTAAATTAAATTTAACATTTGACTCTACATTTAGGGCCTTTTTAATTCGATTGACATTTTTTGTAAATTTTGCTTGTGTAGTAATAAATTGATACTTAAATTAATAATACATTTGCTTAAGGGTAATCCAAAGAAATAAACTTATTATTACCGTTTTATATTATCCTTCCATATAAAAAGGTAATAATAAGTTTATTTCTTTGGTGTGCACTAAATGCATTAAAAGCCATAACATAAAACATGCCAGTTAAAATAAAATATTTTATGAATATGAGTAATAAACTTGATTGCAATTAAATTTCTTCTGGTACATGAAAACATCATATCATAAAGGTAGGACTTTAAAATGTTCATAACCATTTGTATTAACCTATTGTTCATCCATCGAAGGATTTCATAAATAATACAGGATTTAAAAATGAATAATTTATTCAAATTTCTACGATTTTTCAGAAGAGTCTTCGCCCTTGGCGCACCGACGATGAATCCTGTAAGCAGCAGCACCTCTCCCAGGACAGCAACGACATCGAGCTGAAGGAGTGCGGCGGCGCTGGAGGAGAACTGCTCCGCCTGCCGGTCATCCACGATGGCAAGCAATCGCCGACGGCCGTTACAAGTCTCCTGGCTCGATCGGCGGCCATAACCACGGCCAACATGATTGTGGGCAGCATTTCGCTGGAGGCACCGCCACCCTACATGCAGGACGACGAAGGCGACACAATGTCCACGGCGGCACTTATCCACAGCGATGCGGCTGCCGTGGTCCACGAATCCCAGGACTCGGCGGAGACGGTGGAGGAACTGGTGCATGTGCCCCTTCTGGCCAGTGCCACGGCCACGGCCAGTGTTTCGGCCTCATCCTCGCCCAGCATTGCCATCGAGGCCAAGCCGCGCGTCCTGGTGCACCAGCGATCCTCGACCTGCTCCTCGTCGCCGCACAGCAGCCCCAAGAACCTGGGCAACCTGGGACTCAAGATCGTCAAGCCCAAGATCAGTGCCGTGCCAATGGTTTCCGTGTCGGGTCCCTCGCCGCCCATTGAGAAGCCACCGCTGGCCGAGTGCTTGTAACAAATGGCAGCCGAAACATTTATCTAAGCTCGCGCTTAGGGCAACTGGACCTGGACCCCGCATCCTGGACAGCCCTTAAAAACCAAAAGTCCCAAACAAAAAAATAACCAAGTCCAAATCCTACTTAAATAATCTAAGACGAGATAGTTGAGATGGAGAAAGTATGCCAGCTGCTCAAATAAGTGTTTCGGTAAGGGGCTTTAAAAAGGAGAATGCGAAGAAGAAAGTTGAAGGTTGAGATGTAGTAATAGTATAGAAACAAAAAGAATATTGTACCAGTGGTCATCACCAGGCAAAGAAAGCTTTGTATATTCAACAACGACTGAAGTATACACATATGTACATTATAAACGAAAACAATGGTAATCTTTAGAACTTAAGGACTTAAGTCGATTGTGTATGTGTGTATACATACCTATTAACTGATAAATCAGCTTTAACAACAAACAAGTAAACTATCAGGCTTTAATTATACGACGATGATGAATTTCTGGTTTAACCTAGTCTGTAGACTCACCCTAGCTGTTGAAACGAATAATTCATTTCTGTTTAAATGTTCTCCTATACATATAGCCAAAAAAACAAAACCACTTGGGCACCACAACTGTTATACACGCGATCTATATAGATTTACTGAATATATTTATATTTATACACCCACTAAAATTACGTGCATGCGTTGAAGAGCCCTGCATCAATCAAAAGGGCTAAAATCCTTTATCCTCAACATGTTCTATAATTTCTATACAAAAACTATTTATTTGATACATTTGAACTATGGAATTCGGGTTGATTATCAAAATTGAGAAACATGCAGATCTATGCAGGGCTCTACTTCGTACTTCAGAGGTATTCGGACACCCGCTATACACTTAGCTCTTAATGTTAAGATGATGAAATCACATAGTCCAAATGTTACTTGCTAACATATCAGATACTCTACTGTACCCACGACCAAAGCGAAACGTTTGAAACTGTAAACTAGTCCATAATTAGACGTAAGGATTATATTTCAAAACTTATAATTAGATGTAGAGTTTTCGTCAAGTAAGTGCCCTGGATGACTTCTGAGTGTGTTTTTAAAACCAGATTCGTACATGTATTTCGTGTAGATGTTTCTGTAGCTCGAACTTTACCCTATTCAAAGGAGTATAGCTGACGTTAAGCGAACACATTGATGGATTTATAGAAGTTTATATAGGAAAGTTATTATAGGGATCTCCAGCTAGCACCAAACCCCATTTGCTCCCGCTCACTGATTTAGGTAGTCTCTATACATATTAGTTATGATACTCCAAATTTTATCTATCCACCTACGCGTTAGACACTTGAAATCTATCCTATCCAGTTCGTTTGAATAATAAAATACAAAAAGTGTAAATACACACCGCACTTGTACCTACATCAACTGAAATACTCTTCAGTGGAACACAAACGTTGTTATTAAGGAATTGTCAATTTATGGTCCAAAGCTACAATAATTAGAACATCATTTGGATGGTTCAGCAGTAAGCTTAACTAAGTTCTAGTTTACGTTCGATTCGCTAACACAAAACAAAAGTAAAACTGTGTGAATGTGTATTTTTGAAATCAAATAAACGAATTACATAATTGTAAACTTTTCATGAACAGTTTTTCGATATCTTTTCGAAAATCACACAGTGATTGCCCTGGTCATAGTAGCTTTTAACAAGCTTTACCTCTGGGAGCTGGGCCACCAGGTTCTCAAGTTCCTGCTCTTCAAAGACGTGGTAGTAGCGCAAGTATGTGGTTCTCTGTTCGTCCTTGGTCTTCCAGGGCACCAGTACGTCTTGCTGCTGGAACTCTGTGCGATTAGTGTGCACGGGAAGTGGGGTATTATTGGGCAGCTCGTCAAGTTCCTTGTGCTGCTTCTGACGTTGCTCCTGCTCGGTGGTTCGTTCCTTGTTTACTGCTTTATTTTGCCGGAGATAAGCGGACTTTTTATCATTCTTTCGCTGATCCTTCGCCCAAACATAAATCAAAGCACGACCTCCTGGTCGCAAAACACGTGCCATCTCCTGAATAGCGGCCAGTCGACGCTCGCCAGTGGCTAGGTGATGTATAACTGCTATACTGATGCAGCCATCGATGCTGGACGAGCGCACAGGCACACTGAGACAGTCGCATCGAAAGACATTCTGTCCCTTCCGGCGACCCACAGCAAGTAGCCCTTGCGCCCGATCGCATCCAATGGCTAGGAGTCGCGGATTGCAGCCCAGATACTTGCCATTGCCGCAGCCAACGTCCAGTACCACAGACTGTGGATCGAATGAATCTAAAAATCCGGCCACCTGTGGCCAGGGTGAGTGTCGTGTTTCGCTAAAGTGATCCGCAATCTTATCGTACACCTCGTGAACGTTCTGAAGCTCTAGGCTAACCGCCTGAGCAGCCAGGGAGACGGTTAACTCCTGTGGTGTCTTGGTTTGTCGAGTGTCGCAAAGCGTGGGGTACGCACAGTCGCAGGGTCCTCTCCGTAGGCGTCGGAAAGTCAAGGACGTCCGCTTGCCACGGGCTTGTGTGGTCAAACCTCCGGATGCACTGGGCACAACGTCAATGTGCTTTGGCCTGATACCGTGAGTCCAATCAAAGCGAGCCTCACCCGACATGATTAGCAAGGATCGTCGCGGTAATCTGACTTGAACTTGCTCCTCTCCTCGCCGGAAATCCATTACCACATCGGATTGCAGGGAGAGTGAGAGAATGGGGTCCAAAAATGCACTATGTGTGTCTACATGAGGAGGTATTCCATGACCAGGCTCGTATTCATTCACTGTCAGCTGGTCCGGAGTGCTCCAGTCCCAGGCGGTAGCAGAGTTTTCCAGGCGCGGCCATAGAATATCACAGGCAAAGGGTATTGCCAGTTCCAGGGGCTTCGAGGGATCCACATTATTGCTGCCATAGAGAAACTCATAGCCGAAGTGCTTCACATGTCGATGCTTTAGCGTGCCAGTGCCCTCGGAGGTTTTTCCATCCTCAGCTATGGCTTTCAGCAGCGTTGCTTCCTCCTCTCCGCTGACAAAGTCCGAAATTACCAGAAGGCCACTGGGAAGAGGTCTATTCCATTCACTTTTGCCGGCGAGAGCCGGCAACTCCTTTACATAACTCAAGTAGGCCACAGCTCCCAGTTGTCCAATGGTGGAGACGTTGTGCATGGCCAAATATATGAGCTCGGAGTCCTCCATGGAGGCACAGACCAGAAAACAATACGATTTTCCAGGCAACATAACCACCTCGGTGACCTTTCCTCCAGACTTGGCCGCCGCTTGTAGCAAATTCTCCTCCGTGAGCCCATTGCTGAGTCCCACGTTGAGAATCGCCAAATATGTGGTTGGATCATTACTTGGGGTCACATGGCAGTCACTTTTAATAATTGCGAGACATCTACGCTGTTTTTTATCCGCTTTTTTTGCCTTGTTTACCTTTTGCTGCTTCTCCTCAACGTGCATTTTGCGGACAGTGTATACACACCTAAGCAATAAATTTCATGGGGTTATGCCGAATTGTGAATTCACTTTTATACAACTTGTGCGCAGTTTAAAAAAAAAAATAAAGTTTGATTTAAATAAAAAATTCAGCTTCAAAAATTTGTCTACAAGAAAAGTAAAAAAAATTGTCTTGAAATTACTCTGAATTTTTTTCAATTTGTGCAATTAAAAAAACAAAGTTTAAAAGAAAACGTTTTGGTCATCATCGAAATTTAAAGATATTTGACTTATTTTCTGTTTTATTTTTGGGTAAAGTACCCAAAATCTCATTTGTGCCCAACCAACTTTTTATTAAAAAGTACCAAATCTCCAGCAAACAATGATTTTAAAGGATTTTTAGAGCAAGCGCTATTGCAAATGCAATTATTTTTATAGTACACTTTGTAATCCTAAAATAATACCTACACTAGCTGAAAGTGAGAATCTAATAGTAAAAATTTTGGGTGCGTGCACCTCTAGCAGTCTACCAGACCCGGTCGATCATACTGTTGTCTTGGGGCTTCTGGTTCATAGTGGTCAATTGTTGGTGATAGTTGCGCATCTGGTTGCTACGGCGGGGCTGCGCCAGATACTCGAACATGCTCTGCAGATGCTGTGACAACATCTTGCTCAAGTCACTTGGCATGGGATCCGTCCAAAAGAAGTCGTGGTTAAGGGCAGTGTCCGCATCAATGCGTTTCTTTGGGTCAAGGGTCAGTAACTTGTCTAGCAAATCACAACCGGTGGGATCCTTGACATATGGACGCAGGCGCTCCTTGACGCGACGCTTCTGGTTCTTTGGCAGCTCAATGGATTTGTAAAGCTCCAGCTCCTCCACGCCGGGCCACACGTCAGGTGTAAAGGAGCCGCACAGCTGAGAGATGAAGGTCAGCTGCTGCTGCTCCGTGTTGCCCTGCATGATGGGCGAGCGGGTCCACATTTCGGCCATGATGCACCCGGCGCCCCACATGTCCACGGGCGGACCGTAGTTGCGGTCGCCCAGAAGCAGCTCTGGCGGGCGGTACCACAAGGTCACCACACGATTGGTATAGCGATTCTTACTCTCATTCTTTGGAATGCTAAAAGCGCGGGCCAAACCGAAGTCCGCCAGCTTTAGAATGCCATGCTTGGTAATCAGCACATTGGCAGCCTTCATGTCACGATGCAGGATCTACGAACCGAAATAATAAAATATATAGTTAAATAGTACCAAACATTTTCTTTATATTATCACTCACCTTGTTGCTGTGGATATAGTACAAGCCATTAAGCAGCTGCTGCATAACCTTTTTGATCTCACCCAGACTGAACTTCACATTCATATTGGATAGAAGGCCAGCCAAATCGTGCTCGCAGAAATCGAAGACCAAATAAAAGGTGGATCTGTAACCATTCGTGGCAGTGGCCTTAGTGCGGCAGATCTCGATCAGATTCACCACGTTCTCATGCTTTAGCAGCTGCAAGATGCGGATCTCTCGCAGTGCCGTGATGGGGAACTAGGAAAGCATACATAAGTTATAAACTGATCTTCCTATATATGGGTTTACACGCACGCCTTCCTTTTCGTTGTCCATCAGCACCTTCTTCATGGCCACAAACTTCTTGTTGCCCTTCTTCTCCCGAGCCTTGAAAACCTCCCTGCAAACAGAGTTGGGTTTAGGTGTGCAAAGCAACATAAGCTTACTTTAAGGACTTACCCGAACGTGCCCTGACCAATTTTGGCCACCTTCTCGTATTTGTTGCTCTCGTCGCAGTATGGGAAGTCATAGTCTTCGATGTACTTCTGTTTTTCCATCAGGGACATGGTGCGCGAGGAGCTGGAACCGGATGGCGTCGATGCCGACGGCTGCTGGAGCATGTGGGACATGTGCGCCATGGTTAAAAATGCCTCTATAATCACGAATTTCGCAATTCCAGATCCGAAACAAGCCGACAGACAGACGAAAAGAAATCAGCAACAATTGGTGTTGCTACAGCTGTTCATGAAAAAAATCTGTGTGCAAACACTGTTGCTGCATATCGATAACGCAATCGATAGTTTCGCTAAACAGCTGTGCACTTTACGGTGTTGGTGTACACTGGCCAAATGATATAACCTAGCTTCAATTTGATCACAAAGTAAAACCAAATTTAATGAATAAACTATTGAACATAGCGCAGGCTGTGCCGCGCCAGTTTGTCCGTGAATATGCCTTCAAGTCGGATCTGAAAATCAAATGGGTGCGTCCGGAGAAGATCGCGTGCTATAAGCCGGAAAAGAGTGGCGATCTCGGCAAACTGCCTCCGCTGAAACCCGATGAGTTGCTGCTGGACTTCAAGGATTGCAAGGCGCTGGAAAAGTAAGAGCCTGAAATTCAAAATCTGATTTTATTAATATTATTTCATACATGTACTATATAGTGCCGATGAGTCAGTTAAGTCGCAATACAAGCTGAGCAACAATGCCAGTTATTTGACAACACAGTTTTACCGTGATGAGATGGTGAAGGAGGTGCAAAGGCATGCCCAGGATTACGGGTCTATGGAGGCCAAGTGTAAGTTCTGATTTAATTTGCAAATACTTAATTTTTATCGTTTATTAATCTCCCATTTAGTGGGCAAAATGACCGCTATTATTCGCCGCTACCAGGTGCATATGGATGCGCATCCGCGCGACAAGATGATCAAAGTGCGACTCAAGGAGCTTATCGAAAAGCGCAAGAAGTTCCTTAAATACCTGAGACGCTGGGACTATCCACGCTTCGAGTGGATTCTCGAGAAACTCGAACTGGTGTACAAGCCACCGCCCACACATTTCCACTGGATAACCCGCAAGGAATCGCTGCAAAAGCTGACCGACACCTACTGCGAGAACCTCAAGGAAGAGCGGTTGGAGGCCTATCACAAGCAACTGCAGGCCCAGCAAATTCCCTTCCTCGAGGAAGCTATCAAGAAGATGCAGTTCGTGCGGCAGGAGCAGATATCCTGCGATGTACCAGTGACCGTGACCGAAGAACAGATCGCCGACTCGAAAAGGCAGCTGGCCCAGCTCAAAGAGCTGCAGCAGGCGGAGGCAGCCGCCAGTAGCCAGAAACAAAACGAGGATAGCTTCAATTAGGCCCGATTCTTTAATGTTACGGTGTCTTACAATAAATGTAAATGCTGATGTTCTTAAATGATACGTTTTATTATACTTTTAGAGTAGACTGGACATCCGTAATGTCATGATCGAGAGCAGCGCAGACTGGCAAATAAATAAGCAGGCAAGGATGATTGCCTTTCAGAAATGTGTGAAAAAGATGGGAACAGAGAGAAGATCTTAAAGGGTAGGGATTGCAGCTAACGCCGGCCAGGTGAACCAGATTTTCGCTTGCCGCCGCTGCTGGAACTACTCGAGCTGCTCGACGACGAGCTTGAGCTGGAGCTGGACGAACTGGACGACGAAGAGGAGGACACGGATGATGTGGAGTCGCGAGAGTTACGCTTGCGCTCCTTGTCGCCATTACCCGTGGAGTCCTTGCTTTTGACATCCGTGGAAGTGACCTCCTCGTCGCCCCAAAGATCGTACTTGGACAGATCTCCGTCGTCCCCCTCTTCGTCATCCTCGTCGTCTTCTTCGTCGTTCCGCTGCTCATCCCGACTTGACCTCCTGGCCCGCTTGGAGTCCTCTCGATGCTCGTCGTGCTTCCGTTTTTTACGCCGTCCAAACTCATCATATTCGCTGTCCGAATCCTGACGATCCTTGTATTCCACCACGCCGCGATCGTTGTAACCACCGCCGAAGCCTGCAAAAGGTGTTGTTAAGGGGGTTTGGGAGAGGTTTTAGCTGCTCCGGACTCACCAGTCCGCTCCTCCACGTCCGAAAACTTGGGAGCGTTGCACATGTTGCAGGTCTGGCGACGAGCCCAGTTCACATTGGCGCACTTACTGCACTGCCAATCCTCGGCGCTAAACAAACCTCGCGACTTGTCTGCCGCCGCCTTTCCAATCTCCGTGCCCAGCTTCTTCTTGCTGGAACTGCTGCTACTGCTGCTGCTCCCGTTGCCTCGATCCCGCTCTCGATCCCTATCACGCTCCGGCTTTTCACTGCTTTCGCGGTCGCGGTCGCATTTGTTGCACTGCAAACGGCGGGCGAAATTCAGATGGCGACAGCTGCAAAATCGTGGGAAAGGTGAGATTCGCAGGAATCCTCGACCGGTTCGGCTGATTCGCCGGGTGGCGGCTGTCCCTGCATCTTTACGCGCACTCACTCGTAATCTGGGCAAATCCAATCGCCAGGCGAAGCGACGCTTCCTCCGCCGCTGCTTCCTGCGCCCCCAGCTGCCACCCCCCGTTTGAACTGGACATGCTGGGCGCTGGCTGGGACCTCTGCTAAAGGATATTGCTACTGGGCGTCCAAGTAATCCTCCACAGGTCTCCGGAGCAGCATCTAACCGAGATTTTTCTTTACCAATATTCTGTATACGATACGAATTAGGGCTGTCAAAACATCGATTGCACAATCGATAGTCTGGCTTTGGCCGGCCATGGTAATCGATTGTTGTTGGCCCGTCAAATGGAAGTCAATTTTCATTTACGGTATTCTTTATATATATTTTGTTTTTAATTGGGTGAATCGATACATTTTGTTTTTATAAATGGAAATATCTTTAAATAGGAAATAGTTAATGTTATTTTTCTAGTAATAGTTTCGATTATAACATAATGTTTGGTAGAAGTAGTATATTATGTTCGAATATTCTCAGTGCTAGCACCCAACACTGAGTAAAAATATAGTGATGAATACCAAAACAATAAACAAACCATTCCCCAAAAATTTGGAACACGAAACTCATCTTTTAAATAATAATACTACAAATTTTGACAAGCACTTGTAGCTGCAGTGCATAGCTTTAGAAAAAAAAACGACTTAATTTTAGAATTGAGCAAAAAAAATGTTCAAATCTGTATTTACAAACAATTCCATATAATCATTTATATAAAGCATTTCTACAATATTTATCTTTTGAATTTCTCAAATTCAATGTTAGTAGACATTGGATTATATTTTCGAAATAAGAAATAAGTTAGATCCAAAACATATTAGGAGTAAGACCTTTTTGAACAAATCTAATTGGAAAACACATGGGTTACTACAAAAATACTTTTGTCAATATAAGCGCATCATTGATTTATGGAATCCAAATCCAGAATTAGTATCCGTTTTTAATTGTCACTTGCTACAGTTATATACTCCTTCCGTCCCCATACAATCAACCACAAGAACTTGTATACTTTTAGAGTTTTATTTCCTTAGTTTACAAACAAAAGCCGCTCCAAAAGTAAACACTGATTTTGTTTTGTCGTTTGTTGGATGGTTGATAAAAAGAATCTTACTAACACATAACCAGCAGCTTTTGGGAATAGTCGGGATACCATACCCACAGACATCCTTTCATTCAGGCTTACTTCTTGCCAGTGCCGATCTTGGCCTTGGCAGTGCCGCGCACCTTCTTCATCCTGTTGCGGCGCTCCTTGCGCTGCTTGCGAGTCTGCTTCTTCTGCTCGAAGAGACCGTGACGGGCCAGGCGGTACTTGGGCTCGAACTTCTTGGCGTTGTCGAGGGTGTCGTAGATGAGGGCGAAACCCGTGGAGCGGCCGCCACCGAAGTTGGTGCGGAATCCGAAGGCGAAGACCACATCGGGGGTGACCTTGTACATAGCGGCCAGCTTCTCGCGGATCTCGGTCTTGTTCACCGACGACAATCCCGGGTGCAGGACATCGCAGACCATCTGTTTCCTGGCGAGCAGGCGGTTGGTCATGAACTTGCGGGTGCGGATGGTGGCGGTTGTACCAGACATTCTGACGGAGCTGCAATAAAATTAGTCAGGGATTAGATTAAATCTCGTTTTTACACATAATCCTCGCCACTCCGGATTGTTGTTGTCGCCTCCGAGGGAATCAACATAACCTCACAGGCGGTTGGTGCTTCAGGTCTCCACGTGTGACACGATTGTGGGTTTCTGCGACTCCCACGAACGCGACCTTCAATCACAGGTCTGCATGCACTTGACCGACAGTCTTTTCCTGCATTTTAAACTAGTTTTGGGGGCTAATTACCTTTTAAAACACTTGAAAAGGTTTTAAACACGTCGTTTTGCGAACGCGATTCTTGAGAAAGGAAGATGGCCGTCAGAGTGACCGTGAGTTCACATACTAAATTATACCAAATACTAAATAAATATACCAGAAAAGTAAAAAAACACCAGCGGTGTAAAACCTTGACAAGGCCTTAGCGATGACTAAAACCGATTAAGATAACATTCATAAATAACTATGTTGATTAACTATTCATTTTTCTCTTAAACGATTTTATTAAAAGTCGTACAAGTTAGAAAAATGATATCATAATAATAAAAAAAATTGGCTATTTTCCTACCATGTCATTAAATAGGACTGCTGTTAACGCAGACTTAATCTGTATCTACTGTTAGTTAACAGCAATGTGACGAATTTTACTATACTAACAGCAGTGCGTTGGCGCGAAATTTGAATGGATTCTGCAAAACAATACCCGTATTTGAAGAACTGCATCCATTTCTGAATAGCTTAAATTAAGAAATTATAAATTTATCAAAGTGTAATTTAAGTGTAGCTGGTGGCATGCTTTAGTTTTTTCTTGGTTTAGCGAATTGAAATGTACATAAGTAAACCCATTTTGACATCGAATATCAAAAAAATCTTTTTGCTGATTCAGCTTCACCTTCATTGAAGTATTTGCGAATGTTAAAACTGCTTAAGATGCACTTTATTTCCATAAACAAAACTTAATTTACTTTGGTCAACTTGGAGTTATTTTTCTTATTCCAAACGTAAAAGCCACCATAACTCAGGGCCGCCAGCAAGGCCACAACAAGAGTGGCAATTCCAGCGTAGAACACGAACAGGTCGAAAAGGTGCAAATGGCAGGAGGAGATGCCTATGCCTCGGGTCCTTACAGCTGCGCCTCCCTTGTGCCGCGCCACGTAGTTCACCCAGAAGAGAGCGTTGGCCAAAGCACCTTGAGGTCGATCCCTGAACTCCAGCGACACATCCCGGATGGTCAACTGGAAGTGTGGCTCCATAAGCAGCCTATTCACTGCCCAGTTAAGCGAGCTAGTCGTCACATTACCCTCTTCCAGCTGCAGACCCACTCCCAACTGCACGGCTAGCTCCACATTGCGCCTTTCGTGCTGGAAGAGGGGCAATCCCAGAATGGGCACATTACGCACAATGCCCTCCTGGAGGTTCAGAAGGTCTCCATTGGTTAGGAAGACCTTCACCCTCGGATGCGCCAGTATGTCAATCTGCGGCACCGCATGTTGGATCATCACATTTTTGGGCAAACCATCTAGGGTCTTGACATCGTGACAGGTCCAGATGACGCTCTCTTTTCTGACAGAGAAAAAGCCGAATAGGGCCTCTAGCTTTTCCTTGGGTAACTGGCCACAAGGCTGCTCATTTCCCAGCTGGACGTAAATGACTCCAGGTCGCGCCTCCTCCAAAAAGCGCTTCACATTCCAGGGCAGCTCCTTGGGACCCCGGATATGCAGACCACCGGCGGGAACGATCTGTTGGATACTCACTCGGGGGGTCATCAAGGGCACATGACTGTTCAGCAGCAGCACGGATAGCTGGCTGGCCTGCAATTCGGGTATCGACTGTTGCAGCTTAAAGTACTTGGCCACCAGCAGCTCCTGACCACTGTAGTGGTCCTTGATGAACCGCTTCCTGCGACCAATGCACTCCCGGATGTTGCTCAGCCGCTCGGAAAATCCCAACTGAGGCAGATCCCGCTCCAAATCAATGGGAGAACAGGCCGCCGGCACCAGTGCCTCCTGCACTGCATCCATGTAGTTGCCAAAATCTGTGGAAATTATCCCTATGACAGGACGCTGGTGGAGAGCTCCCAGTGCCAACAGAGCCTCCGTGTAGAAGTAGTCCACTAGGATCACATCAAAATCGAATTCAAGGTAGGACATCTTTAACAGTTTCTGGATGGGTTCCTGAGCGAGGAAGTGGTCCAGTGCACGGGCTCCAACGTCGGCCAACGACTGGCGGAGATTTTCAACGGGCAGGCGACCAAGATCAGCGAGGTTTCCCTTGGGTGCCGCCTGTTTTTGCACTGTTTTGAGAGAAAACTGTAGTAATTTTCCGGCAATCTTCTTTATGAGTATTTTAAGAGTACTTACACTCGCTCCAGAAGGGATATTCCGCTATCACCGTTTCCGTGACATTATCCAGAGTTTCCCCCAAGCCATGTCCCGTATAGACTTCAACCTGTTGTAAGTAACTTTCTGATGATATCCACCGAGTTAAATAGGTATTAGTACTTACTGTATGCTGTCGGATGGCCAATTCCGTCACCAGGGTTCTCATTACCGCAAAGTGACCCTCGTTGGCATGGGGAAACAGTACTAGGATCTTTGCTCCCTGAGAAATCTGAACCAAAACTAGACCAAAAAGAGCCAGAAAGATCCATCGATTGTTATGAGATTCCTGTGAAATAAAATTCAAAACAATTTAGGTCATAATCGAAAGTACACATCATCGAATTAAAGATTCTCTGTCGCCCTTTGCCTTATCATTTTGTCAGTTGCCAGGCTAAATAGATAACTCTGACTGAACTTGTTGCATCCGTTTACCAACCATATTTAGAATTTAAACAATGGCATCTGCGATTAAAATTAAGTTCCGGCCGTATTTCTATTTCCTTCGCCTGGTAAACTCTTCCGGTTCCAGTGAGTAAACGAATCAGACTGAACTAAATTCTCCTTGCGCCTTGACTCCCCACAAAAACAAAGCACTCAACTGATTGCTCTCGGGAATATAATCTTAGAAATACGTCCAGAACTTCTGTGGTCACTGGAACATGTGTGGCACATGAGATTGCCACCGGACCCCAATACATATGCCTTGTATATAGATTATATTGCTTTCATTAATGTATACAGAGCGATTGTGGGGCTGAAAAGGGGTACAATTGCACCGGCACATATGTATACAATCCCCCCAGTTGAGCGATATGAGATCGTCTCTTGAGTTTATTGTTTCCCTACTTCTTTAAAAAAGAGTGGGGAACGTATGTAGATCTTTCGATTTGTTCACATATGCATAATTGCACGACTTTCTTATGTTTGAGTGCATTTGCTAATTGTGAAACTTGCAAAGTCATCATTGTCTGACACAAGTTCTAAATATACTTTCTTTTAGTTTCAGTTACTAATGAGCTGATTTGGTGTTTTGATAGGGTTGTTCGTCAAAAGATTTGTCTAACCTGTGACTAAATTCAAATCGAAACTACAAGAATTGTGACTTAATTTTTAATTAATTTAAAAATCGGCAAAATTAAAAAGTATATCATGTTTATTTAAGTCTGTGTTGTTCTTCAAGTGTTAGCTGTTTTCGGGGACTAAATCCTAAACAAAACTTTACAAGAGCTAAATCTTTGATTATTTAAGATACTTTAAAGTTTTAGAAAACTTAGAACGACTTAATTTTAGATTTCTCTGAAGTATAAGAAAGTTTGAAGAAATTGTAGAAAAACAACACCTTACTTACACCAACAAATATCTGTATTCTATTTAAATTCGAATCATAAAAATAAATTGGAATTAAAACGGTCTTTATAAATACAGCGACCCAATTAATGCTGCAAAATCGCTCCCAGACGCTCCTCCAGAATCAGCCTTGCACCTGTTCTGTCAATCATATCCAATTGGTTCCCAGCCCAAACAAACTGAATAAATAAAAATATTCGGCTGTGTGCTCTTTAAATTGCCGCAAGTGTGCAAATCAGAAAAATGTGACAAACTGAACGTTGTTTATCAACAACAAAAGGCACAACATGGCAAATCTAAATCGAGAACAGGCAGCAAAGGCAAACAAATTGGCGAAGAGGCAAAAACCGGTTGCCGCTAAGGGAAGTCGCTAAAAGAAAGCGATGGAAGGGGTTCCAAAACCGGTTCATTGAACCTGAACACCACCGACCCATTATGGTATAGACACACAACAGAGTTGAAAAGAACGATTCCATCTCCTGTATCACAAACAATGTTCTTTATTTATGCCATTTCTTTTTTAGTTGAGCAGAGCTACTTGCTTACGGAACAGAATGTAAATAAACATGGCGAATGCAAATGGTAAATGCAAATGTCTGGAAAAATCGATTATGCTTTTATGCTTAAATCAAATCGGTTATGTTTGCTGATGGATGATAAGGATCCGTACAAAGAGGCTGTCTCCAAACCAGTTTAATCGGTGGCATCGGCCTTGGCCACGGAGAAGGCCTCCGGGACGGGGATGCTGCCGCTGTTGGCGATGACCACATCCTTGACGGGACGATCGCGGGCATCGGTGGCCGAGTTCTCGATCTGGCGCACCACATTCATGCCCGACAGGATCTTGCCGAAGACGACGTGGCGTCCGTCCAGCCAGCTGGTCTGCTTGGTGGTGATGAAGAACTGGGAGCCGTTGGTGTCCTTGCCAGCGTTGGCCATGCTCAGCCAGCCGGCGCCGTAGTGCTTCAGCTTGAAGTTCTCATCCTCGAAGCGCTCTCCGAAGATGGAGCGTCCTCCAGTGCCGTCTCCCTTGGTGAAGTCACCGCCCTGGATCATGAAGTCCTTGATGATGCGGTGGAACTTGCTGCCCTTGTAGCTGCATGGAAAACATAAATATTTGATTGTCAGTAAGATGATTTAAGACCAGATACCGGCATTTAACAAAATATTATTTTAATTTGTTGTTGAAATATCATAAATATATAAATTAGATAAATTCTTTGCAAAGCGGTGTAATTTGAGCCCGGAATTTAGTAGCCAAAGGCCATCTGATGTGAATAAATGGGGAATTAAGCACATATCCAAATGTATATCCTTTTAAGCAAGGTTTTCTGATGTTTGGGGGATTACGAAGACTAGAGAGTGGTCTTTGTTAACCCATTAGTCTTAACTATTCCCGAGATTCGCTTTGTCAGCGGATGATTGGTCGCTTTAACGCCACGTAATTGCTTCAATCTGAGAGCCCCGCTATAACCTATAAACGGTATAGCTGTGCTGGTGTGCGAGTGCCGCTAATCGGCGGCATCTTTTGGGAGCGTAGCGGTACCAGGTACCCTCCAACCCCCCGGTACTCACCCTTCGCCCTCGGGCTTCTGCGCCAGCTCCCGGAAGTTCTCCACCGTCTTCGGAACGGTCTTGCCGAACAGGCCGATTTCGATGCGACCTGCGGGCTCACCGCCAATGGTGATGTCAAAGAAAACCTACGCAAACAGAATTGGTTTATTATTAACAATCATCTCACTTGATTTATTGCCAAGCGTGTGTGTGTGTGTGTGAGAGGGAGATAGTGTTTAAGTATACAAAATACTGGGAAAGGACGAAAACAAAGGAGCACCTACCTTCTCAGTCACTTTGGGCCCTTTGCTGTCATCGGCAACGACGATTCCGGCCACCAGGGCCACCACGCACACGGATAAAAACAACTTCATGGTTCCAGAAATTCCCAGCGATTGAATTAATTTCTGTTGTAGAGCTGCCGACCAGGAAATGTGACCAGTTGGCGGCGTGGGTGCCACAAATGCCTGTCTCTTTGAGATTTCTGATTGACTTCGTTTTGGTCACACTCTTCCGGCGGGAAATATGAAATTTAGCGATGGCTCAAACCAGTTAATTACCATAACAACAAAAAGGAAAGAAGAGAATGTTAAGTTTAATATACTTTTGCAGTATACAAATAATGTATAAGTCAATACACTTAAATAAGAATTGGAATTTATAAATTTCTTAAATACTGTACTCATTTAATACGATACATAAGCTTTAATTCTAAGCGTACATGTTTAACCGCAATGGTTATGTTAATTTTTTTAATTTTTCGATAATTTCTATGGCAGCTTTATGGTATAATGGTTCGATCCGTCCGGTTTTAATTTAAATAACAAAAGGAAAACTTTTGACAAAGTTTAATCAAGAAAACATGTTAGAAATGGTTGAACGGACTAGGCTGATGATGCTATTCAAGAATATACTTGTATATTGCAAACTTTTGACTGAAATTTTAATACCCTCTGCACGGGTGTAAGAAATATCCTTTTTATACCCTTGCAGAGGGTATTATAATTTTGGTCAAAAGTGTGCAACGCAGTGAAGGAGACATCTCCGACCCTATAAAGTATATATGTTCTTGATCAGGATCACCTCCTGAGTTGATATAGCCATGTCCGTCTGTCCGTCTGTCTGTTTCTACGCAAACTAGTCTCTCAGTTTTAAAGCTATCGAGTTGAAACTTTGCACACACCCTTCTTTCCTTTGCACGCAGTATATATGTCGGAACGGCCGGAATCGGCCGACTATATCCTATAGCTGCCATATAACTGATTGATCGGAAATGCCATAAATTTGGTGTTTGTTAAGTTAGGAAGTTAGGATTTTCTATGGGTTTTATTGTTGGCCAATCGAACCCACCTACCAAATTTCATAAGGATCGGCCGACTATATCCTATAGCTGCCATTTAACTGAACGATTGGAAATGCCATAACTTTTGTTTGGATTTTTTATGAGTATTAAGAATGCATCATATGAATAATTTTGGAGAATATAATTTACAGAGTATTCTGCAAGGGTATATCAACTTCCGCCCGAAGTTAGCTTTCCTTTCTTGTTTCGGTTCATTTATTATGAAAGCACAAAGTTTTAGGAATAGCTGAAGTATCATAAAGCAAACAGTATTTTGATTTTTATAATATTTATTAAATAAACACACCAATCAGTAAAAACAATGGAAACTACGACTGGTTAGTTGATTTTAACGATATTTATATTTATATTAATATTTATATTTATTACAAATTTAATGGAAGCATTTTCTACAAAATGGGGTCATTACAATTTCTTGAATGGTTATAGCCTGAATCCAATTCAACGCAAGTGCTATCTGAACAAGGCTCGGGGACAGAAAGTTGACTGCAAATGATGATTGTTCATCGTTCTCAATGCAGTAATACTTCGAACACAACCTTTGATAAGTATGGGCCATTTAGTAAAGGAATATTAAAATTTAACTAACTTTTTCCTTGCAACGATATTTTGCCAAACAAGTAAGGAACAAACAGTACTATAATGTGTCTCAATTGTCCGCTGCTCACAACCCTTACAAAACACTTAAATATCTAGACTGTTGGATTGCGATTTTATAACCTTATTAAACGAGTGTTAACAAGAGCATTTAAATATATGTATTACTCAACTTTATTTTAATATAATTACATGATGATATGGTGGTATATTTCTCAGCAATCTGTCTCGCTATTCGATTCGATACTCTGTTAGTTGAAGCTTTAATCAATAACGCTATAATAAGTAAGCCCGTACAGATGATAGTTTACTGATTTAAGGATATTAATTTGTCATTAATATAGATAAAAGGATCATTCAGGAGTACTCTATTAAGGAAATTTATAAGGATGAGTTGTTTGTTTAAATTTCCTCTAAAGATGGCAGCACCTATTATGTGGAAGTGCTCTTGGTAATTGTATTTTAATACAATTAAATGTTTTTTGAAAACCAAGTCTCGACTGACTATAGTCGACATTGTCTACTTGTGTGGAGTAGCTGTTGTGGGTATCAGACAAGATGAGATGTATTTTTATGGTACTTATTTTCGGAATTTTTTGGCAAAAAAGTCTTGCAAGACTCTTGGTAAGTATCTACCATTAAGGAATTCATATCTATTGATAAATAATTTCAGAATGCCAATGCGGAGCCACCTCTACCTATTGACTTTGGAAGTTTGGAAAATAAAATTAATCAATGGAAAGTAGGCAGGGTGGAAAGCTCAGAAAACGAGGACAATATGTTTGAGATGATCACTTTCGACCCTCAAATTCCTAATAATGTGGAAGGAGATTCCGATGCTTTCTTAGAGGATGTCATCCTTTTAGATTCTGACTATGATATCTCAGAAATCGATTCTGATGATTCCGCTGATTTTAACTTCTATGATGATTTTCCTTTGAACGTCCCCGAAATCTAGTGTAAGAAAATAGCAACCTCAATTTTTGACGAAAAAATCATTTCGCCGCTGGTTTTTTCGTCAAAAAACCTCCAAGTAAATATGAAAAATCCTGAAATGCGGACTGATGAATATTTCAATTTGCTAGAGAGTTTCTCTTATGTAGGATGCTAAAAACAAACCAATTCTTGGAGAAAAATAAAAATACTCTATTTGGTGAGATATTGATCTAAAAATCCCCTCACCTTAATGAGAAAACAATGGAATCTAGCACAAAAATTAGAAAAAAAAATCATCATAAAACTTATTGACTCATTTATTTTAAATATGACAATTCTGTAAAGAGGGGTTACAACAGAATTTAGTTGTTTAACAAAAATTTGTAGTACTGAATTACTTATGTAAAATTGAGAAGAACCAAAAGTTGTGTTGGTTTCTGGCCAATTAGATATGAGATCAAATAAACGATAGCTTCATTAGTTTAAAAATGCGAAATGTTATTCAATAAAATGAAAGCTATTGGGTTGACATAATTGACATTTAAACTGAGTTAGAATTTATATCAGAAACTACCGGGAAGAGGGCTCCAACTTCCTAGTGGTATATTGTCGAGCGCAATAATCTTCCCAAGACGATCAATAACGAAGATTGTATAGCATTGAGCTCAAGAATGGATTGCTTTCAGGAAAACTATTATATTTGCGAGGTCAGTATAAGCAATAAACGCAAAACACGTAAACTAATAGAAAATCTAACATCTGACTTCTTTTACTCAGCTTTGTGATTATACGTAAGGTATATTTATACACTTTTAAAATATATTTATGAAAGATACAGTAGTTACAAAAAATATAAATGATATTCCGATTTAAGAGTCAGCTCCTTCAGTTTTAGAAAATGAATTCGATCCTTGAGGATCTTTTTAATTAGTCAAACCAACGCTAATATGTTGGTAGCTGTGGCTAGAGCTTTGTATAAAGCTTTAGCGCAGTGAATATAGAAATGAATTGATCATTGGTGTACTGCTATTTGTGTTCGAGATTTGTCCAGTTCCTTGGCCGCCTTCTCTGCCCTTTTCTTTTCTCTTTTGGCCAGCACTTTCTCCCTGGATTTCTGGGCTCTTTCGGCGCAATCCTTGGGCCGTGTTTTTAAGGTCATATCATCCACGGCCGCCTGTTTACGAGCTGATCTGGACAGACACCGTTCCATGCAGCTAATTGGCACAAATCTTCCAATAAAGCAGCCGCAGAGTGAACAATAGTGGTTAATGTCCTGGCGGCCAGGCCATTTTTTACTATAAAAAGAAGTAACGTAAGTTTTCATTTATAATACAGAAAAATCTTTGAAATCACAAACCAAAGTTTCGTGAAACCCAAAAATCTCTGTAGGCAGGTAACCACTTCCAATTGCACCACACTCGGTCCAGACTTTTCGCACGAAGGACAATATATCCAGGTGGAATCCTCTTTCAAGTAACCCACTGGTTGTTTGTAACTGACACTAATGGCCACAATCTGCGGCTCGTCTACGGTCATGATGTGAATTCTAGCGAGAACGATCGGTGACTGAATGCTTAATAAAATTAAAAGAGATCGCTAGGGGGAAAATCAGAATCAGCTCCCTCTCTTTAGCGATATTTCTCTCAGTGAGGCGTTGGTCTGGTAATTAAGTTAACGCATGGAAAACATATAAATCATTTATTACAAAATACCATCCACAGAGAAAGAAAAAGTGTGATTTAAAAAAAGTATTATGTCCTGTTGATAAGAAAAACATTTGTATATTTTTTTTAACAGTTAAAAGTTAAAGATGAATTTATTGTTTTTAATAACATCAAAATGCCCTACAAATAAGCACTTTTTTTATTAAAAATGCATAGAATTTTTGTAATATTTATTCTCCATGTGGTGTTCAATTGATCGGATGACATCCTCGGTGATGATCTACAGCTGTGGACGCCGGTATACGCCCAGATACTCCCCGCAGGCACCGCAGTGGTGTCTTTTGGTGCAGCAACGCAGCCAGGATCGCACCACGCGAGTCCTAGCCTTAGTCCTGCAGTAAGGACAGGTGATGTCGTTGGGGCCAGGACCCACGGCAAAGTAAAGTGGTTGCGGATCCTGAGCCATGTCGTATGTTCAGAGATGTTGACTGTTTAAAAAACAAACGCAGACTGAAGCAAGCGAAGAGAATTTAGCGGTATACAATGATCATATCATGTCCAAAGAGATAAACATATAGAGAGAATAGAAAAGAGTGTGTATCATTTCAGTTTTATTTTTGTTTTGATGGGTATTTGGATGTTCAGAAAAATGTCTAAAATATGTGGGAGCTTTGCTGGCTAGCCGGTGGTTGCCTTTAATTTAAGTGGTTCCCTCCTCTTCATGGATCGTCCAAAGTAGCACCCACAATTGCCACAATAATGACTTCGGTCGGTTTGCTTGCAGGGCACATAGTAATTGAAACAGCAGCAACAACAAAAGGACCTGAAATAGGATTCAATGAGTTTTTTTCTTATGATTTTTTAAATAATTGTATCCTACACAAAAAGACAGCCCACAATGCGGTTAATTTCGCTGGCCCACCACTTGAGATCGTTCTGCACCACACTTAGGTCCTTGATTCCGCAGGCGGGGCACTTGATCTCCACCGGTTCGCGGGGGAGGTTGAAGAAGGTGCCAGCCAGGGGCGTGGCAAAATTCTCATAGATCTTGCGCTCCTTCCGATCCTCCAAAGCCTTGGCCTCCCGCTCACGGATCTCCTGCTCCGTTTCCTTCTCCGGCAGCGTTGTCGTCATGATCGCTCAACAATCGAACTGAAAGCGAAACGCTGCCAAAACAAGCAGACAACCTGTTTGGATACAAAAAAAGAGCAAGAGTGCACTCAGAGAAATCATATGTATATGAGTTTTAATCTGAACTTTCTTTTCATTTCGACAATCTAATAAAGAAACTGTTTACTAGTCCATCACTTTCCAAACTACCCCACTTATGATACTAAATACCACTTAATAAAATTCTTAGTTGTGATATAAAAATTTATTTTGATATTGTAATATTGGAAAGATACAAATATTTCAAATTCTAGGTTTTTCTTGTAAGTCTATCTATGTACCCCTCAATAATTTTTTTAAGTGTGACGGAGAGAATTCATTATGGAAGAGCAAAAGAAGAGCAGCAGATATGATTTACAGTGCGTCTTTAATTGAGTTAGATGCGTAATAGAATTATAGAACGTACAAATATTTGGCATTAATATCGTTTTAATTGGTCCGTTAAATGGGCTATTTGGCCTTGCGCTGGATACCCACTTTGCCGCCACACGAGCTGCAATAAACCCCCTTGGTGGTCCATTCCCGGTTGCAGCCACACCAGGTGCAAACGCAGCAGATCCAGAAGAGCGGAAAGATGCTGTGGGGGATATGGGGGAGTAGTTAGTATATAAGAATATCCTTTGATAAGGAAACCCTTTTACCAGGATAGCAAACTGAGACAGAAGCTGGCGTCCTTGCAACTGGCTGCTCGCATCACAGCCGCCTGGCTCCTCTCCTTACAAAGGGGGCACAATAGTTTGTAGGTGGAGGGTCCTACGGCATAATACCGAAGGCGAGGCTGCTGGTTGGAGGAGGAAACTGGAGCAGCCGACTCCTGCGGGATCAGGGTCACCTTCTCCGCCGCATGATCGTCGATGAAGGGGACCAGACCATCCTCCAGCACCACATTGGCAATGATATTCCTGGCACGCTCCTCCGCCGTTCCAGCGGGCACCAATCTCACCCGCAGCCTCTCCACCTGCTGATGCTGCTCCATGCTAACTGACTATCTGATCTCCGCCAGAGCAGGCCAAACCCATCAGCGAGAGCGAGGCGATCACAAAGAGAACCTCGAAGAGAGATCCCTCAGTAGCAAAGAATTTGTACATGGCCATGGAGCTATGATGTCATCAGCAGCTATTCAGGGGATACTCACTCGGTGTGGCCCCTCGACCAGAACCAGATCGACAACCAAACGTTTGGCGAATATTTGTTTATTCAATATATAGGGCAGTTCCAAAACCAATTCAACCACATGGAAAACATTTCGAAATTCATACAGATACTTCCAAATATTGAATAATTTAAGATGCAGATCATTAATGGCAAATATTTTACATCGTCAAAAGCATTGAACGATGTTATTTATAAAATTATTTTATAAAAATGTAGTCAAGCTATAAACTGGAAACATATGTATTAAGATTGAATAGTCTGAAAAGATTGAAGGCGACTAAAGACTTAATATTTGCATTACACGATTCCACGATTAGTAGTTTACAACTCCTGTTGACTAGTGTATTATTTTTGTAAGTAGTAATACCGGTGAAAACAGCTGATAACTATGGTTTGTTTGGTTCGGTTTTTGTTTATGTTTATGTTTGGTTTTTGTTTGTTTTTATTTTTTCCACGATTTAAAGCTGAGCTGAGCGATTTTCTATTGAGAGAGAGAGAGCTTTAAGCTTTAGTGAAGTCATATACTAACAACTTTATTATTTATTATTACTAGAAAAAAGGTCTTACCGCTATTTTATGTAGCTCATGACTTATCCCTTCTATCTTACAGAGTAAGACCCCAAACTAAAAAACACCGAAATTACCCAATTTTCTTTAACAATTAAGCTAAGGATATTCAAATTTATTTTTGATCAGTATTCGTTTTAGTGAATGTTTAATTTCAGGGTTTAACTAAAATATACATGGGATATTAAGAATCAACATTTTAGTTAGTAAAAAAGTTGTATATATGTAGGTACTATAAATCTAGAGTTATTAGTACCCATATTGGTTATATTACTTTCTCTTGGTCAAACGAAGTTTCAAGCCGTCCTTGGTCACTAAAACAGGGGCAGCATCGAATCGGAACTCAACCTCCTTGCGAGGAGCCTGTACCAGATCGAAATTGGCCAAAACCTTGGCCACCCCCACCTTGGAGTTTATTTTTCCCATGCGCAGCGCTAGATGAATAACATATTAATTGGATAATTTCATATCCCAAGTGATACACCATATATTCTCACCTATGCAGTGCCTGGGACCCTCTCCAAATGGCATATAAGCTGCTTGATCGTAATTCATGTTATCCTCATCAAATCGGTGCGGATCATAGCCATTGGGATTGGGGAAATATGCAGGATCCCGATGGATGCCAAAGAGCGAGATCAGGATGGGTGTTCCCTTGGGTATAATTTGATTTGTTCCGGGCACAACATAATCTTCGGTACACTCGCGATTCAGGAAGGGTAGACCGGGATACTTTCGAATGGTTTCTGAAAACATCCTTTTAGCATAGTTTTAATGTTGATGAGTCTTAAGAAACCCACCCATGATGCATAGGTCCAGGAACTTAAGATCTTGCACCGCTTCGTATGTGAACTTATCCCTGGGCTTGAGGTTGTGCTTCCGAAGCACTGCATCCACCTCCTCGCGGGCTTCCTTTAGAAGGTCCGGATACATGGACAGTTCGTAGAGAGTGAAAGCGGAAGCGGCAGCAGTGGATTCCGATCCAGCCACGTAGAAGAGAAATGCCTGGGCCGCAATCTTTTCGATGGACATTGACTTGAGCTGTTCCTGTGCAGTTTCCATGTCCCACACTTTGTCGTCGTCCTCGCCGATCTTTCCCGTATTTCGTAGTCGGATCAGCAGCTGCAGCATGTCCTTGCGGACCACGTTATGGAGCTCACGGAACTCTATGGTACGCTTCATCATGTCTCGTAGGGATGTTAGAATCCTGCTCTCGTAACCCAAGCGGTTCATCAGCTTGGCAATCCTTAAAAGAAGTCGCCCAAATTTATTAAGTACCGAGTTTAAAATTGTCTTTACTTTACATTAATTATGTTCTGACTTTTACCCATTTGTTGATGATTATAACGAAATAATATATTCTTCTTTTTTCCTGTATTTCACCAGTTTTGGTAATGTATTTTGTTTGTTGTTTTTTATTATATTTTGGCAGTCTCTGAGTTTTTAAAATTTTTATTTATATTCGTTTTCCATAAAAGTTCATAAATGCATATGCGTTTCACCAATATTTTAATATATTTTTTACAAATTAATTTCTTGTTTGACTTATTTTATTAATAAGCTTTCAAACCTTGATCTAAAATTGTTTATTGTTAAGAAAATAATATTGGTTGAACGAAAAGTCACGGTAAAATAAAAATGCATTGAAATAATACAAATTTATTGCATGGCAATAAAACTGCAGCAATTTTTCAATTCAAATATTCATATGTACATATATACATATATATATACTCACGGTGGACATATGAACATGGAGATATTGTGGATCTTGAGCAGTAGAGACTTATCTTCTGCGGATGAGCTGCTTATTTTGCGAAACTCATTTTCCGGATTACTGAAGCTGTCGATCTCCAAGCCGAAGATCACCGATCCAATAATGTCAACCGCATACGTGGTCATCACATCTTTTATCTCCACTTCGTCGGTCTGGTCCAGAACCACTGCAAGATGCTGCACTAGTTTATTGCCCACATCGTCGATTGTGCCAAACATGCCCTTTATTTTTCCGGAGGAGAACGATGGTGTGAGCTTGTGACGCAGATTCCGCCATGAGGCTCCTCGCAGGTTGAAGAGATTGGCGGATAACGGATCCCTTTCCTCATCCACGTAGACCCCACGATCGTGAAAGCTCCCGAAATCACTGGTCATGATTTGGCGAGCCAATTGGGCATCTCGGATGAGGATACTCCTCTTATTTATCATGTATATCCCAACGATTACGCCTTCGTGCCGGGCGTATATATCAGCCAATGCCATGCCCAAACTCCGCTCCTGTTTCATTACAGTATCCATTACTCCAAAGGGGATTCTCGCCGGCTCCTCGTCCACTCCCCTTCTCTGCCAGTAGGAATAGTGGCGCCGCACATATCTGTGCAGCAATCCCAGGCATAGAATTAGCAACAGAATAGCCCACATATTGAGTATCTGTTAAGTGAAATTGCAGCTATAAGAATTTAAAATCTCCAATTTCTAATAGTGGTGAAATTTTCGCGAACTCTTCGATGCACACTTCCCAAACTGTACAATTGTACTGGCTGGGATTCGGGTTTATATAGACACACCCGATAAGAACTGCGAATGAACGACCAAAGCAAACAAACAGCAATATGCGATTTTGACGCTTTTTATCGTTCTCTTCCAGCTGAAAAAATTACTTCTCAGCTGGAAGAAGCTTTCGACTCTTAGGGAACAGGGCAGAATAAAGCAAGAAACAACCTGTTGATTTCAATCAATTTTATTTATTTATTATTTATTTAAAATAGGGAGTCAAAATATTCATTATTTTCCAAGTTTCTTTATAAAAGGCTTCTGCACTATTTTGTTTCCAATTTGGTTGATTTTTCTATACTTTGTGAGATAAGAGTCTTATTTGATTTCCAATTTGGTTGATTTTTATACACATTGTGGCCAAGAGGAATAATCATTTTATTTGTCAAATTTCTAAATCAAAATCCCATGCAGTTTTATTTTAATAAATGTCTAAAATAATGATTATTTGCGAATTTGAAGTAATTTATAAATATTTCTGAAGATATGTTACAAGACATTTTTCCAAAAGGATGTTTGCTTTAAATATAAGGATTTCATTATTTATTCCATTGAAAGCATTTTAAAAAACCACCCTTTTATTTTAAAGCCATTTAAAAATATTGTTAAAATATTTTGTTTAATAATTGTCATTAAAACGTTTTGATTCTAGAGCCTGGCGCTGCCTTCCCAGCTTCTTCTCATCCAGCTGCTCCTTCTCCACCTTGTGGAATCTCTGCCAGCGTCCATTGTCCTCCACCTCGCCCCTTTGGAGGCGGAAGAGAGTCCTCTTGTACCAACTAAGGGTGATATCGCGTCCTATAAAGCAGCCACAGGAACTGCAGTAGTGGTTGACATCATGACGACCCTTCCAGCGAATGGGATTGCTTTAGAAATATAGGGAATATTTATAAAAAATATAAATATGTATAAAGTTTTTCCAACTAATGCATTAGTTGGAATAATTTTAACATTTTAATGTTATAAGTTCAAGGCTATATCAATAGTAAGTTAATTATTAATAAGCTCATAACTTAATTATTATTTGTTTTCGTGAAATAAATTTGAAATCAAAATACCACAAATTCTTGGTCCGTGTCATTACTCAAATCGTATGGTTTTTTATTTCTTAACGATAAAGAAACTTATTTATTGCTCTAACCCAATTGGAATTTAGGCCTACCAGCAGAGGGAAAAAAAATATATATAAATATGTATAAAGTTTTTTCAGCTAATGCATTAGAAGGAATAATTTTAACATTATAATGTTATAAGTTCAAGGCTATATCAATAGTAAGTTAATTGTTTTCGAGGAATTGATTTGAAATCAAAATACAAATTATCGTATGGTTTTTTATTTGTTTCTTAACGATAAGGAAACTTATTTATTGTTCTACCCCAATTTACCCAACCCAATTTAGGCCTACCAGCAAAGGAGCACATTCAGCGAGCAGACGATCTTTTGTAGAATGGTCACCGCCTCCGGCTCCACGCGGGTGATCTGCAGCTCCTGGCAGGCGGGGCACTCCAGCTCCTGGGGCTCGGTGGTCAGGTGACCCACCTGCGGCACCCCCGAGATGTCGCCCTCGAAGGCACTGCCATCCAGACTCTCGGTGCTGGCCATTTCGAAGCGGCAGAGCAACTGAGCCAAGAGACGCGAGCATTCGCATAATGTATCTGAATCTGCATTGGATTGGTATCTACATCGCAATCAAAGCGAAGAGCGTGCCAGAGAGTGGGAGAGATACTTTTTGGAGGCACCGCCTGAGTGATGATCGAATAAATTCAAGTAACTTATTAAAAAATTTGACAACAGCTGCCGGTTTATTTATAGATCACTTGCGCGGATTCTAGAGAGCTAACTGAGTGGAAGTCCGACTAAGTGGGACGCCAGTGGAAGCCCAAGTGACCACCGCATCGGCTGCAGAACACACGTTTCGACTTCAGGCGACTTTGGAGACAGGAGTAGACGAAGGTCAGGGCGAAGATGGGAAAGCAGCTGGAAACAGAGGTAAACACAGGTTAATCCTCATCGATAAATTGGTTTTTTCATTGTCTTTAAATATCCTACCAGGACAGAGCGGATAGGAGGCAGCTGAGCTGACCCAGTGCTCCCGTCATCTCCACGGTTTCCGTCTTGGAATTCCGCTGGCACATTGGACACCGCACCTGGTAGCTGCTGGGTCCGACGCTGAAGAATCGCACCTGCGGTTTGCCAGGACGCTCCTCCAGCGTAATTGTGGTGGCCGCCGATTGGGTGTCCCCCCCTGGAGGTCCACCTCCAGATCCGCATCCAAGTCGTTCCCTCGAGGCATTGCGACTGGCCAGCGATAAATGCCAAACACTTAACGAATCCCCCAGCAGTGAAATAAATAACAAAGAGAAATACCTAACCAAAGAGATCTGATCTAAGAGAAACACTGAGAGAATAATGCAGTAAATCGACATTTCTTTTTTGGCACTCAGCACTTCAGTCTCAGCGCTCATCACTCGCCGCAAGGTCAACAAAGTGTGCTCAAAACTAAATAAACAAATAATGAGGAGCACCCCCACTCCGAGACCGAATCCCCCAACTATTTTTTTAATTTCTTCACTGTCTTTTCCATGCCCCCAAGAGGTAGCCACACTTGCCACAGATGACCTTGCAATCGTTGGCGGAGCGTCGCGGACAGCAGGGATAGATGGGCAGCAGGGCAAAGCAGCTGGAAATGAGAAGGAAATAATCAGGACTAGAAATATAAATATTCCAAGTAAACTCCAAGTTAAAATGTATTAAATAAGAAATTATCGTATTCTAACTGCAAATAAAGACGTTTTACTGGTTATAATTAACACAATTTGATTATTTAATTCTTCACTTCAAATTTTTCCAAATTCTAAATGCCTGTATCATGCAGGTTTCTAGTGACTATTATAAGTTAAAGAAGTTCTAGCTTTAAATAGTCACCTTAGTTAGATACCTTGGGAATAGCCTATTTATCAAAATTATAAATTTTTCATTAAGAACATAGGACTAATTTAAAATTATGCTTGTATTCAACAAAATTAATATTAAAAATTTGGTAAAAAAAAATATATGTATATTATTTATAATAAATTAAAATGTTTATCTGTTCAGTCTTTTGGTATTGTCAGTAAAACTAAGCTTAAATGCTAAAATTTTCTTAAATGAAACTTATCAAACTTAACTAAATATTAAAAAATGTTATTTCTTATAGTTTTAATTTGTAACTTCCACTAATTACTGATTTAACATTTTAATAATACTAACATTACATTCATATACATTTTCAATTTTCGAACACTAAATTTCTTGCAGATATGGCGCTTAAAAAAGATTTGTGATTATGATGATGAATTAAGATTTTAATTTATGTTCAAATAAACTTTAGTAATGGGCACTAAATTAGGTTTTTTACATTCCCATATAATTTTATTGTTACAAATTAGTTTTTTAGATTTTAAATTGAGTTACCAGATAGGAAATTTTTATGGCCAATAAATTACGTTTTTAATAGTTCAATAAAATTGTGACATATTCAAATAATCAACATATAAATAAAATTGTCAGTTCAACCAAAATCTCTATTTTGCTATGCTAAACTTCATTCAGACTAATCACTCACCACATGGTCAGGAGTCGCTCCAACCGGACTCCCTGCTCGTGCAACCGCTCGTGGCACTCCGGACAGTACATCTGGCGAAGGCAACTGATGTTGGTGGCCGTGGGCGGCGGTGGCGATACCTTCTCGGCCAGCTGGCCCGTGGAGTTGCTCTTGCGGCAGAAGTAGGTCTCCGGCTCCGAGTCCTCCGCATAGCCGTACGGATAGCCCCTGTGAGGGGGCGTGGCCAGGAGCAGCTGGTCCAGAGCCTGGGCGGATTGCTGCTTGACTTGGCCGCAGTTGGGGTTCAGGTTAATCTCCACCAGATCCGATGGGAACTCCTCCTCGTCGGGAGCTTGCAGATGGAACGTCAACTGTCGACTCATGTTGTTGAACTGACTCGACGCGGGTTTTCTATTTGCCTATAAATTGGGTTATTTTACAATTGAAACATTGAATCCATAAAAAACATAAGTCAAACAGTTAGGTCTGGCAGGTAAGGAAGGGCAGGGGTATCGTTTGGGGTTGAGCGGAGTGTTAGACAAACCAGTTGTTCATCTGTTTTGTCAATCCCCGTATTTGCCTAACACTATTTTCATGGCTAAGATGCTAACGGCTGCACTTGAACGTAGCCCAATGAAGAAAAGCTTCCGTAAAGCTTTCGTCGAGTGGGTGGATATCAAAGCTTTTTCCAATTAACCCATTGAGTGCAAAGGAGTAGGAATCAATGATCTAACTAAAATTAAGAAATTGAAAATAGAATTCAAATATTTAAAATAAATTCATATATAAATAATAAATGCAAAGGACTGGAATCATCGAACTAACTAAAACAAAATTAAGAAATTGTAAATAAAATTAAAATATTTAACATATGCATTTATTAAATATTAAGTATAGAAAGTATATAAAACGTTACAGATATAGCAAACGCATAATCTTTTTTAATTGTTGAATAGTAAGCAAAAGCAAACTCAATATCCATTGTTTCAAAGTAGAGCACTTCATGAGTCAACAGTATGTTTCATCGCGATATTATAAGTAGTACAGAATACTTGTGTTACTGTTTTATACAGTAAATACATTAAAAAATAGTCAAGTTCCATGAGTCGGATTAAGATCGGGTCTGTTTTCTGACTAATGCTTTTATAATAAGTTTTATTAAAGGGTATAAAATTAGAAAGATAATTTTACAGCTTAAGATATTGTATTTTGAACCAGCGAAGATAATATAAAATAAATAAATACTTAGGGAATAAACACTTTTTGCCATGCTCTTATGTATTTATATCGTTCTAAAGGTGAAAAATATCATTAAATAAATATATATAAAAAATGATATAAGGCGTAACAACAGGTGCATCATTTTATATATCAAATATAGGCTGGATGCAAAAACCGGTAATTGGCAATGATTAAATTACAAATTAAGGTAACAGACTGAGAGCCCATCACTTGTGTTGATACAAATGCTCTCCCGACAGTATGTCTCCAAGCCAAATACTCGTAATTTAATTTTCCATACAGGGCAAGTTGTCAAAGCGAGTAGAGCTTATTCATCATCTGCCTATTTATTATTGCTGTTATCAAAAAGGTGACTCATCTGATAGCTATTTAGAGGAGCATCGTCGAAACTCACTAAATCAACTGCACAATAAAACAAAATATCCGTTTACGAGTACGCAAGAAATCCCCCATTCTCTACGAGCTATCTCTACGTAGCGATAAGAAATTGCCAAATGTTAAGGTTTTGCCGTAGCTCCATTTAGTGCCACGCCAGCCATCAAAGCGATCGGTTCAGTTCGTTGAGAAAAGCAGAGACTCCAGAAGGTATACATCAGAACTATGGACAGCAAACAGCCTCCGCCGTACAGTGAGCAGCCCGGATTCACGCCAGCTCAGACCTATCAGCCCGGTGGCCCCACACAGCCACCACTCTACCCACCGATGCCACAGCCGCCGCAGACCTCCACGGTGATCATCCAGACCACGACGACCTCCAACCTGGTGCCCATCGGCGGCGGACCCACTCGCATCCGCTGCCCCTCCTGCCACGCCGAAGTCCTGACCACCGTGAAGAGCACTCCCTCCGGCAGGACGCACTGCTGGGCCCTCGTCCTGTGCCTGTTCATGTGAGTTCCCCAGTCATCTGATACGACGGCTTTTTCAACGTCATTGTTTACCTGTAATTATTAGATAGAACGACTGGGGCGTAGACTTGAAGTTTATATACTATAGGACATATACATAAGTGTTCGCGATTTTAAATTAGAAAGGAGTGTGTGAGGAAACAAAGTCTTTTATGTAATGACACTTACAAGTTAGAACAGTATTTTCATATTGGTCCATTGATTTTTACAATGAAAATTGCATTTCAAAACTAAAATTGAAATTAAAGTATTATTATTGTTAATATCTTTAAATTGCATATAAAAGATATTTGAAAAGGTTTGTTAACCGAGAGATATAGGTAGGTGCATTAGTCAATTGTCAATGACAATTGCATTACAAAACTAAAATTGATATGGAAATATTATTATTATTGATAAATTTACATTGTATGTAAAAGATATATAAAAGTCAGATAAAGACAGGTGTGTAGAGCAATATAATAAAATATCTATAGATATGTTTCAGTATCTCCCGAATACACATATTAAAAAACTTGTTATTAGTGACAACTTGTCAGTTTTATGCCTAAAAATAAAAAAGCTACGCCCATGCACCACTCACGCTCTCTTATCGCTTGCAAAGGTACAATAAGTTTCTATGTGCAGGCCATACTTGAAAACAATGTTATCGCAACTGGAACTGGAGTAGAGGCAGATAACAAAGCTGCGATAACAGACAAGTGAACTGACTGGAATCGGCCCGTAGACTGCCGCCCGTGTATAGGCCAATTGGAATTAGCGCTCTGACTAATAAACCAATTCCCCGAACCTATCTAATCGATCCCCACCAATCTTTATCCACAGCTGCTGGCCTTGCGTGTGTCTTCCGTATTGCATGGACTCCTGCCAGAATGCCAACCACTACTGTCCCAACTGCAGTGCCTACATCGGCACCTACGAGAACTAACGTCTATTTATGCATACCTACTTATAGAGATCCCCGAACATTACCTTCATATTCCAGCGAAATTTATCTGTAAATATACTTGTACGACAGTCACACATTAAACATGAGATTTAAAAAAGGGGAAACATATAAACACACTTCATATTTTTTAAGATATTCATTTTCACATAAGAAAGTCTAATGATAGGAAGTCCATTATGTGAAATATAATATCTAAAAACTAGTGTTAAACGAATATTTAGAAACCTACTTGCCACATTTGGCATATCAGTTTGTTAAAATATTAACAATGGGCATAAAAGATTATAAACGACTCATGGCAGCTTAACATTTTAGATCGATGTTGATGATAAACCAATGGCAAGAGCTTGATTACCATTATATAATCAGTTTATAGCGCATAGCAAAGTTTAACGACTTCAATATACTATCAAAAATAAAAGATTAATTCCATCTGTAAGGTTGCTAATAAAACACTAGTAACCGTCTAGAGAATTTTATTGACTAAGTCAACAATATATGGTGATTCGGATTTTTGTTGTCAAACTTAAGTAGTCTGGCAGCCAAGTTATCCATGTAGTTAGTCATGGAATGCTATGGTGTCAGTAAAGCCAATGTCAATCGATTAAGTGCTGCAAATGCCAACTCTTTTATACCTCGCTGTACGGTTCATTTAAAAAGTACCCGTCAATTAGTCAGAAAAGATAAGGATTGCGATAGAGCAGCGTTGTCATTAAGTGGTCGGTAGTTTCAGTGCATGTCCCAGCGCAAACATGAACAGCACATGGGTGGGCACGACTCCAGACACGGAAAGCGTAACCCCGCCACCAGACTTTGGGGTGGTGGTGACCCAAATACCCACTTACACCCTCAACGGGGTGGGGGCAGGCGCACTGCCGCTAACTGTGGACTGGAAGCCGATGAGGGTGCGGTGCCCGTCTTGCAAGGGTGAGGTCACAACCAGTCTGGTCACCGCCCCCACCCGGAAAACCCACCTGTGTGCTCTGACCTTGTACATTTGCTGGTGAGTGGAGAGGCCTGGTACACCCCACACAGATGTGCATGCTAAAACGACATCCTTAATCCCCCAGCTGCTGGCCCTTCGTGTGCCTGCCCTACTTCATCAACTACTGCAAGAGTGTCCAGCACTACTGCCCCAACTGTGGATGCCACATTGGGAGCTATGCTGTTTGAAATAACCAACTTTTTTGCACTGCCAACCAGCATTTACGGTCTTATTATCAAGGACTTCAAGACCATTCGGGGATATATATTTTATATCTTACAGTTTTTTTAACATTAACTTGTTAATCTGAGTTCTGGTTTAACTTCAATTAACATTTTAACAAATAAAATAAATGAGCCACAAATAAATGCCCTATTTTATACTCTTGTTTTTTTTTATGGCAGCGGTCGTAGTTACATAAAAGCTTGACATTTCAGACGGTGAGCTAGATTATCAATTTTTACCTTTATATCCATTGGTCGTAGATAGCCAAAAGATTTTATGTTTCTTGGGACTTGGTTCTTGCCAGTATTACTAATTGGTCTTGTTGATTTAGAACGCGTTTTGTACCGATATAAATTTAAAATTACGTTGGAAAACTTTGAAAAATTTGTCCCGGAAAAAAATTAATATTGGTTTTATTGATCGTAAAGTTTTCCATATACATTCAGAAATGAATCCCTCAAATAGTTTCAGGTATAAAAGTTCTCAGTAATTTTTGATGCGACTAAGTGATCGTATTTTTTTTTAATATTTAGAAAATATTCCCCGGATAGTTTTAGATATAAAAGTTCTCGGTAATGTTGAATGCAACTGTTATGAGCAATTTTCCTTTGTCTTCAAATTTGAATTTCAGTTACTCCTATCGATGTAATCCCCGTAGCAATAACTAATCGATATATGCAAGCTCGCGCGATCGTATTGTCGTCTCGCTCACACCAAAGAGCCGAAAGTCCAGTGTCTTTTTGTTTTTGTTTCTTTTTACCGAAGCGCATGCATTTCAGGAGCTTTCAGTAGCAGTTCGCAGTTAACTGGAAGACATTGCCGGTTCGATTAGCCTTCGTGCCGGTTTTACAAGTACCACATTATTATCTGTAATGGACTACAAGCGGGTTGACTCCCCACCGCCCTATTCGGATGACTTGGCCACCGCTCCTCCGGCTGAGATGGATCTGAACCAATACCAGGCGTCGCCGCACCAGCTCTACCCGCAGGTTCCGCAGATAGCCCAGACGACGCCGATGTCACAACCCCCACTTCCGGTGAACGTGGTGCACCAGACCACGGTGTTGGTGGACACTCCGGGACACGGAATGATATGTCCCCATTGCAACGCCCGGATTCGCGTCCGAGTGGAACATCATCGTACGGGAAAGACATACTGCATGGCAGCGATCCTCTGCCTTTTCCTGTAAGTACATGCATTCGTAAATATAATAGTCACAGCTGCGGACACAGTAATAGCACCAAAGAGCCGCACCTTAAAGAACATAAACCTCGAGGTTTAGATTAGTTCAATTTTATTTTGAAAACAAAACAAGACTACACTCAATTTTATGAGCAAACTTTACCTTAGGGAGCAAATTTATTATTCATTTCAATGTACATCTACAAAATGCAATCTGTGTGCTATTTCTGTGACCGCATTTGTTTTGTTTTATTTAGCAGGAATTCTGTTATTCGATGAGTAATGGCGTGCCTGGTAAACAATATAACCAATTCTCTCCATCTTATCCCCCAGTTGCTGGCCCTGCGTCTGCGTCCCTTGCTGCTGCAACTGCTGCTACAAGACCTCCCAATTCTGCCCCAACTGCAACGCCTGTTTGGGATCGTTTTGAAGACGCCAGCGAAAACACTCGCCGATTTCATTTCGTCACATTCGTATTCATATTCGTATAACTAAGTACATATGTATATGTACTCCACATGTGTATTTGAAGTGGCGCATTTATCATACCAATACTTACTACCACACACAAATTCTTTAATCGACTCTGATTTCTGTATTTCTGCTAAAAGCAGATAGGAAACAATGAAAGAAAAAAACAAATAAAGCTTTGCCATATTCTGGGATTCCCATTAATTTAATTTTATTTTTGCGTTGCTTTTATTTTTCTGCGGATCTGGCAGCCTTGTAGCTGGGAATTTGAAACACTATGACGCTTTTTCTTGTTTTGGATTGATCGACTAACTTACAGCTGAATAAATTAAGTTTCAATAAATGTATGTTTAATTGTCTATACAGATATATTAATAAACTATTATACATAAATCAATTTAGAATCATACTCAAATTGCAGTAACATTTTTTATTTAAACATATTTGGAATGAAATAAAAACATGGGAAGCCAACCAAAAAATGTAATATTACTTTAATAATTCGGAAATGTCTAAAAAAATTAATATTTTAAAGAAAATTAGCTAGCATGAACCTTAAAGTTAGTACCTCAATAGATTTCCATATACTTTGAGATATATTCCTTTAATTTTTTCCATTTTCATGTTAGTTTTCTTTAAAGTTTCCCATGACTTTTAACAAGTTAACCCCAAATTGGAGTTGTAGAGTTCATAACTTTAATAAATTTATGCCGATTTCAAAGTGAGACTTTTTAAGACTTGTGGTTTGATTTTCTAATATTATGCATTGAAATTTGTCATTTTAACGTTAATACTTTTTTTGACCGAATTTCATATTAGTTAGTTTTATTTTATGTATCCGATGACTTGTAAAAAGGTGACAAAAAGCCTTCAACTTTACCAAATTGAAGCCGATTTTCCTCTTAAGAGGTAAGAGGATTCATCACCATCCATTACGAATATGTAATCACATGAAATCAGAAATCTACCAAAGCCCCTATTTCTGTTAAACCAAATAAAACATTTTAGAAAAGGTTTTTGATTTTCACGACTGATAAGAACATAACTTTTGCTAGGGGTATTGGTAATTGGCCAGAAGTTTTTAACGCAGTGAAGGAATGTCGGAAATATCATTATAAATAATATATATTTTCGGTCATTCTCGGAGGGGTATCGATCAAGGCATATCTGTCTATCATTTCGCTTCTACGCAAACTTGTCTCTCGGTTCAATCCATCTAGCTATCTATATAGCTATATATTTAAATGTTTTTATATACACATAAAAATTGAAATATAGCGTTCTTTATTTTTAGTTTGGCGTTTTTGCCATATCTAAAATATATGTATACGAAACATTATTGCTTAGTTTTAAAATGCAAAATAAAACCTCGATGGTGACGGCGTCATAACTTTGGTTTAGAGTTGTGTATATGTAAATATTTATATACATAAATGTTTATATTCCAACAGAATAATTTCAAAAAGTCGTGTTTAGCCAGCAACATTGCTGCTGCAACATGCGGCAGGAACATCGGCAGGCCAGCAACATCCGAACATTGCGAATGGTTGCAGCTTCGCTGCGCAAAATAGTGCCGCACATCTATTTCTCAAGTCCAGCAGTGCGCAGTAAGTTTTGACAGCTCTGCGAAGTTCTAGTTTCATTTGAAGATTAACCCATTTGTTTCGGCAACGTAAATAGTAAGTATAAGTACGTGTACAAAATTTAAAATTCAAACCGGGAATAATTTAAAAAAAAATTGCCCGACGTTTCTCAAAGTCGAGTTCAATAAAATGTTAACAAAAAACGTATTAAATGAAATATGTGTTGTTGCTGAGCAAACAGGACAACGCCTTCGAGATGATGGCCGCTCCTCGAAAGTGTGTTAGGGAAAACTGATGAGGAGCACGAAGGTCGGCAGGTGGATGGTGGATGGTGGATCCCAGGGGGAGTGTGTTGAGCACTGGCGCCGGACACACCCGCCGCTTAATGATGAAACTATGCTGTTGTCGGGCCTAGTGCGAATATAAATAGATTTTGTTGATTTTGGGCGCGCGCAAACAGTTTGGAAATGCTAACCCGCCGGGGAGATGATAGATAGAATGGGGGTTGAATAGGGCAGAGTCAGACGCAATTGTGTGATGACGACATCAACATACTTTCGGTTTCCACAAAGCACGCGGCTGAAGATGACCTCACACATTTGGGGTTCAGCCATGAAAGGAATTTTGAGTATATAGCACAACAATTAACGGGAGATAAGGCTGATCACAGCTTGTTTGCATGGTGGGCGTTCAATTAAATTATCCACCGAACAACTAATTAAATTCTTATGCATCAGCGGCACGCGAAGTTTTCAAGGTCTTGCGATGCAATCAATATAAAAGTTATTAAAGTTTTCCGGTTTATATTTTAAATTAAAACCAGCACCATGTCCACCCCCGTTGGTCCGGAGCCGTGCAACGTGGTGTGCCCCAGCTGCCGCCAGCAGGTTACCACCCGCATAGAGCCGAAGGCCACCACCAAGACCCATCTGATAGCCCTGATCATGTGCCTCACCTGGTAAGCGGTGTCATCCCCCACTTACCTCCAACACTCTAATACATTTCTCTGCCGCATAGCTGCTGGCCCTGTGCCGGGTTCCTCTACTGCACCAAGTGTGCCCGGAACTCCGACCACATGTGTCCATCTTGCAACGCCTTTATCGGCACCTACGAGCGTTGAGCCCCTTCGATTTCGAGGTCAAGCCTTTCCGCGGTCTGCGGCCAGCAGCCCCGTGCCCAAATGCAGCCTACCACTTAACTCATATTCCGTTGTTACCTCTCTCACATTTATAACTACGCAATATTTTGATGTCAAGCAAAACATTGTAGTACCAGCTTAAGCTTTTGTATTCTTATCAAATTAATAAAAAGATTCAAGGAAGAAACTAATGGCTTTTATTTAGATGACTTCATCAGGAAATTAGTTTTGTTAAGTACCCATGATCATTCAGTAAATAAAAGTTAATGCATATTTGGGGGGAACGTTTTATGGGTTGCTTCGCGTCGTCATGTCCAGCCCAATAGTTGGAAATTAGAATGAGTGACAGGACATCATTCATGTCTCTCAATCATAGCAATACATTTTCTATATAACATTGTAAATTATAATTCAAACAATAAAGTTTCTTTTCAAAGTATGGAGAGATTTATAAAGATTTATGAGTTTATTATGAAACGACAATAATTGCTTCCTTTGATAATAGTACATAGCGGAAAAAAATCAGATTGTTTAGTCACCCCAGTATCAGTTATAGAAGTGGTACTGACTCAAAATTTATAAACAATGTTTTTTCAATAGGAACGAAAATATAATATGAAATTATCATTTATATACCCTTGCAGAGGGTTTTGAAATTACAGTCAAAAGTTATATACTAATCAGCATCACAGTCCATTTCTACGCAAACTGGTATTTTGGTCATTAATCTGTATAAAACTATTCCAAATATCTTTAACATATACCCATACACTCGAGATAATTCTTAAAACTTTCAGAAATAAGTAAATAATGTTTTATTATTAGGAGTATATATTAAAGCTGTATTGTATAAAATTCGTAAATTGTAATTGTAATTTTAAAGCTATGGCTCGTAATCTTTGTTTTTTTCAAGTCAATGAGAGCGACTCTAAAAGAGAAGCGACTCAATTCGAAGCTTAATCTAAACACAAAAACGGAAGCATCAAATACTATAAATATATAGTCTGTAGTCAGAAAAATAATCGGAAATTGCATGCCTCCAAAAATCCCCAGCGCACAATCAACATCGAGCCTGCCCTCACACAACTAAAAAGAACGCAAATCCAAATTCGGGCGTCGCCTGTGGAGCACATTTTAGTTGCCAGTCTGAGTTTGAACGCCTAGCACATCAGTCGGAAGTGAAAAAACTAAGAATGGAGAAGAATATTCCCTACAACCACCACCAGCAGCCTATGCCCCAGGCACCGCCCTGTTATGACAACACCCATCAGGGCTACCCGAGTCTTAATCAGCCACAGCCTGTAATTGTGGCACAACCTCAGAATGTGCAGGGTAAGTGAAAGGCAAACCATTTTCAAATTATTTGGACCAGTTTTTAGGAACTAAAGTGTTATACATGGATACCATATTAAAATAGAAACCGATTTCAAGAGCATGGATTCTAAATTTGTGTTTGAAAGAACAACATTTTATTCCAACCAAGAATTTCCGTCAATGTGTATACACACGCGCCGAAATAAAAAAAGCGTTCATTTATATACGTTTTTTCCTTATGAAAAACATAAATTCTTTTTATTCTTTCTCGAAGAGTGTCCATATTAAATAAAAGTGATTAAACAGATTTTCAAGAACGATATTGTTAATACAATCTATTTTCTATCTATTTTTCTATCTATTTTCTATGGTGATTTTTTACAAAAACTTTTCTGGTCTTTTTAGCACCTCCTAATGTGTTGGGGAATGTTCCATCCATGGCCACGTGCCCGAGCTGCGGAGTCCGTAAGCAAACGAACATCGAATTTGAGCCTAGTACCAAGACCCATTTGATTGCCCTTCTTATCTGCATGTTGGGGTAAGTAACTAAAGGTTGATCCTCTTGTCAATATTAACAATCCTGTTTTTAGGGGCCTTTGCTGCTGCTGCATTCCGTACTGCACGGACTCCTGTCAGTCGGCCAAACACACCTGTAGTAGCTGCGGAGCCTATGTGGGAACTTACAAGAACTAGGGATCAAACATCGAAAAGGAAGTCTCCATTGACATGTTTTAAAATATGCCAATCATTGTGAGCTTTATTCTCCTTCGGATTCAACTTCGCACAACGAAATATGCAAAACAAAGTCACTGACTCTTGTCCCAGAAAATATTGTAAAACCGCCCTTAAATACTTTTACATTTCAATTAAAATAAATGAATAACTTATCATAGAATTTTAAATCGGAGACTCAAACAGTTCTTTATAGACAGTAGACTGGGAAACTTTTCAGGGAAAGATGGCAACAATTATAAATATGAACATACTCGTATGAATACATATTTGACTGTACCAAAATGAAAAGTCATATTTAAACATTTTGGGCACCTCTTTTATCAGTATAAATATTTAAATTTTGCAAAGGAACACATTGGTCGATAATAATATTAGTGCCACCATTTTTGTTATAAATTCTGGGAATTCTATGTTCGCCCAGAAAATACTGATAACAAAAAAATATACTGCGATACTGTCCTTAATAATTTCCAAAAAAAATATTTCGGTTCTTATCGCGTTGAATAAAAATACCCTTTCAATCCAAATTTCTGCGTCGCGCAATGCTAATATGAGGCTGTGTCAGCAGTAAATTTTAATTAAAATGAAAAAAGAAGGAATGAAACTTATCAGCTTTTAAAGACAAGAACATACATAGATCAGAAAAATGTGGATTTGTGAATGTGAAATTTTCAATTTTTGTTAATTACTTATATAATAGCACAATTTCGATTTCGTCACCATTTTCTAACATGAGCTTATCTTTAAGTTTTTCAGCTATGTTTGGATTTTTTATGGCTTCCGAGTAATGAGAATTGATCTTTCACACTGTTGATAACCTTTGCAACTGCACACTCGTAAAATATTGTTTTGAATAATCAAAGAATCAATAAAAATGTATTTCTAAAAAATTTCAGATAATCAATCTTTTAAAAAAAAATGTTTCGTGTTGAAACCGCAAGTACAAAGGTATAAATATTAAAATCACCAGGGGGAAAAACCTGGTAAGCAATGTAAACAAGTTCAATTATCTTTTATAAGCATTTGTATATAGCAGACTGCAAATCAATCTGTAGAGTTGGTACATATTTTTGCAACAGTGTTGGTATTGATGGCCCAGGAAAACCTAAAAGAAAATTACATACATATGTCTAGAAACAAAATTGGGTTTTTCAGAATTTTAATTCATGGCTTGAACTCGTGGTGAAATTAAGTTTCTCGAAACATTCCAAAGCCTCCCACTTTCGCTATTCCATCAGCTTCGACAATTCAACTGCCATTTAATTGCAAAGAGCAATAAAAATAAGTTCAGAAATAAATTTATTCCGGTTAGCAGCAGACCTCTTTGCTAAATGCAATCCAGTATAGAAAGAAAAACTATTATTATTAAATGAGTTTTTTGATCGCAGGGAACCTTATGAATGCGAACGGAATATATGTATGAGTTTGAATAGTACCAATTCTAAAAACGAGAGAAATTAGTAATTAATAATGCTTGTTTACAAAGACGACAATGTGTTTTTTAGTTTCTCTTTTTTAAGAAACTGGTATAAATATTTGATTTTATGGGACTCAATGTATATTTTAAAAAATTTACATCAAATAATAATAAATTATATTGTATATGTTTTTATATTTTAAATCTACTAGCGATGTTTTAAATCTACTGCGGTTCAAAGTTTAATGCTCCCCTAATAAAAACATTTATTGAATGCAATTTGTATTCAAAAATCGATTATTTTGTATTTTTAAAATTTTTATAAATGCATTTTTAATTACTTTTTAAATTCAAAATTTTTGTAACCTTTGTTTCATAAACAATGTAAGGTTTTAAATGCAAAATTCGATTCCCACTGCACGCATTATTTACATTTAGTAATTTTATGTATCACAAATTTGCGATGCTTTTCTCAGAATTGGAAGTCTTTTCTAAAGATAATCTTTTGAGAGTTATGTTTCAAGACATTTCAATGAGTCATACATTTGCAACCAGATGCAGCCAACACAAAATCGCTTATGTAGCAAGAAAACAGTCGAAGAATGCAATACATGCTGAAATGCAGGCAGATTTTTCTGTCCAGGGAAAGACGTCAGACTATATCTCGATGGAAAAAGTTTAAGATGGATTTTTGGTAACTTACAATTACCCTATTTTACTTCAAAATCTAATGGAATTTCAATTCTTTCCAGTGCTTCATGCTGCGGACGTCGGTATTGTGAAGTGGACATCTACGAAATCAACCACAGATACAGATCCTGTAACTGGATAGGCGATCCCAACTAAAATGTTTTATCTAAAATAAAGATAAAGTCAACATGCCAAACTAAAATTAAAAAATTGGAAAGAAATAGAAGTGAAAGAAAAGTCTGATGTTTCATGCTGTGTTAGTTGTAAGTTAGACTACAAGATTTTAAGTGCGATGATTGCATTTAAATTGCACTTAAAAAACACAACTTTTTAAAAATGTATTGGTTTGTCAAATATACAATTTTTTTTATGTGTGGCCGACAATATAAATTTCGAGTCTCACTTCGTATACATGTGACTATGAATATCTTGTTATTATGGGACTGGGTGTGGTCATGGTTTTTATACCCTTGCAGAGGGTATTATAATTTTGGTCAAAAGTGTGCAACGCAGTGAAGGAGACATCTCCGACCCTATAAAGTATATATATTCTTGATCAGGATCACCTCCTGAGTTGATATAGCCATGTCCGTCTGTCCGTCTGTCCGTCTGTCCGTCTGTCCGTCTGTCTGTCCGTCTGTCCGTCTGTCTGTCCGTCTGTCTGTTTCTACGCGAACTAGTCTCTCAGTTTTAAAGATATCGAATTGAAACTTTGCACACACCCTTCTTTCCTTTGCACGCAGTATATAAGTCGGAACGGCCGGGATCGGCCGACTATATCCTATAGCTGCCATATAACTGAACGATCGGAAATGCCATAACTTTGGTGTTTGTAAAGTTAGGAAGTTGGGATTTTCTATGGGTTTTGAATTTGGCTAATCAATCCGACATGCCGAATTTCATAAGGATCGGCCGACTATATCCTATAGCTGCCATATAACTGATTGATCGGAAATGCCATAACTTTGGTGTTTGTAAAGTTAGAATGTTGGGATTTTCTATGGGTTTTATATTTGGCTAATCAATCCGACATGCCGAATTTCATAAGGATCGGCCGACTATATCCTATAGCTGCCATATAACTGATTGATCGGAAATGCCATAACTTTGGTGTTTGTAAAGTTAGGAAGTTGGCATTTTCTATGGGTGTTATATTTGGCCAGCCAATCCGACCTACCAAATTTCATAAGGATCGGCCGACTATATCCTATAGCTGCCATATAACTGAACGATTGGAAATGTCATAACTTTGGTGTTGTTAAAGTTAGGAAGTTGGGATTTTTTATGAGTATTAAGAATGCATCATTTGAATAATTTTGGAGAATATAATTTACAGAGTATTCTGCAAGGGTATATCAACTTCGGCTCCGCCCGAAGTTAGCTTTCCTTTCTTGTTAATTATTCTGTTGCTTTATTAGTTATTCAACTCCGAATTCGAAACGGACAGCTAGGCAGACTGAGAGAACAATACAACATTTTGCGAGATAACTTTGTATTTCGAACAAAAGTTATCAAAGACTTAAAAGTATGCAATTAAATTTGCAAATAATCAGTGGTCGGCAAATTGTGTGTGCCAACCGCGCTTTTGATAAGGACTCTTGCGATGTTTTTAAGTACCGTCCTGGGAATTAATTATATTGAGCAAATTGAAAGCCAATATATATATACCCCTGAAGCTTTTACAAAAATTAATATTAATATAATTTATAGGTTCAAAGATGTCTCCACCCCAGCGTTGCAAACTTTTGACTAAAATTGTAATACTTTCTGCAGGGGTATACAAATATTAATATTAATAAATTTTCGATAGTTGACCTCCCTTCTTACATAGATTCCGGTGGCAAAAACACATTTGCTGAGTTGTTCAACGTGGATCGTTAAACCAGACCACATTTATATGTATGGTAAAATAAGGTAACTACTTTGTTTTGTATAAAAATGACATTAACCTACAACCTACATACAAATTATGTATGGAATTTATATAAATAATATTTATACAAACTTCAGGAATACACCAGATTTGCCAAATAGTAAAAACACTCTTATTGTGGTTGTAGTTAATTTTATTTTTGACAACCGCACGCTCTCGTTGTCTGCAAGCAAGTAAGCTACGCATGTGCAAAAACAGAAAAAGGAAACTAAATCGTTCTTAGACAGAGAGGAAGAGAACAAAGAGAAGAGAGAGCTTTGCCTCTCCCTGAGATCTTCATTGTTCATCCCATGATACAATAACATGTTATTGTATCATGGTTCATCCCCTTCCCATAAACACACAATGTGTATGCGTACAAGTGTGACTTTTGGTATTCTCAACACGCCACCTCAAAAGTTACACTGATACAAATTAAGATATAACAAAATATAATAACAAATGATATCGAGTGTGCATATTTAAATGGTTGTAATATTTTTTTTCTTCTCTTCTCTGGGGTCTCTTTCTTTTATGATCCAGCATTTGCTGCAAAGAATTGGGGAAACCCAGTAAAACCCAATCAGATCAATCAAAACATAAATTAACAAGATTCGCTTATATAAACAGTAATGGTTAGACTAAAAATTATTTTGGTTTGATTATTGTTAAATATATATGTATATATGCCAAGAGATCCAGTTTGTCTTGGCTTTAAAGTGAATTATCAATTAACAAAAAACTCTACATACATATATGTATAAAGGTTCAGGCTGAAGATCCAGTTAGCCCCAGTTGATCTCGCAGTGCAGTGAATCTAGCTGTTGGTAGTGGCTTCGTTAAAATATCAGCCAATTGGAAATCTGTGGAAATAAACTTAACGCAGATTAGTTTGTTTTCAATTTATTCCCTGGTAAATTGATATTTAATATCTATGTATGTGCTTGGTTCTCTTGTGGCAAGTAGGATTATTGGCTATACTAATGCAACCTTGGTTGTCTTCAAAAATATCTATTGGGTCATTTAATTTTAATTTAATTTAATTTATTAATGACTTTAGCCATATAGCTTCTCTAACACCTTCAAATAAGGCCATATATTCAGCTTCGGTAGATGAAGCAGCAACTGATTTTTGATTCAT